GTTCTTCCTGTCGCATATGATGGAGATCATTGAATGAAAAATTAATGAAAAAGCTACAGCAACACAACGTATACATATACTCATCTCAATGAAAGTTATTGACCTTGATGTATACAAAAGAAGAAGTTACATGAGAAAAAAAATGTCTTAGAAGCTAATCATCGCGTCAAAGAGACTTCTTGTCTTAATGCTATTTTTTCCACATACACGCACCTGATTAGTAATAGCAGACAGTTTTGATGTGTCTGTAACATAATTGTCTACAAGAGCTAAATAAGAAAAAGAGGGCTAAATAATAAAGAAGAAGAAGAAATAGAAGTAGAAAACGAAGAAGGCGGATTTCTTTTTTGTAAGTTAACAATGTTAGTGACAGCCTTATCTTAAAACAGGCCGTTACTATTTATTTTTCATCAATAGTTGTTTGAAACATCATGCCATAAGCATTATTATGTAAAAAAAAGAGAAAAAAAGTAAATGTTCTTCTTTATACATTTCACCGAACGCAAGATAAATACATCGACTGAACAAATGCATCTTTGTCTATGTATACTAATCAAGAAGTCTGTTTTGCTTTCTTTCTTTTACATTGGCATTCTCACGTCACTTCTCATATACCCCAGAGGATCAGTTTTCCTCTCGCTTGCTCCCTTTTTTTTCTTGTTTTAACGAACATTTGGTGTTTACTTACATATTTCTAAAGATGAAAAACGACAAGTATCATAAACGAAAAAAAAGCAAGACAAGTATCTGTATATATGTCAACAGGACAAGAGAGTAGAAGAAAAACTAGAAGACTAACTAACAAAAGCTGGAATGTATATGTAATGCATGCACATGAAAAATAACACGACAGAAAGAAAGAGCAACTATATTTGACATTTGCCTTTTTTTTTCAGTATACCATGTAAAGTAATCAAGAGTCTGTCTTTCGTATACAGATATAAAGAGTAACTTATATATAAAAATAAAATAATGTAGATTATTGATATATATATTTAATAAAATATGTATATTGACAAACATGAATATAAAATCAAACGAAGATCAACATTGAGAAACTTGATAATAGTCTTATGAAAACATAATAATCTCAATTGTAGAACATAGAAAAAGAATAATCTCATTTATCATGAAAAAAAATATTCTTCATCAATCAGACAGCTAACAAGAAGAGAGAGAACAAAAAAGAAGAAGAAGAAAAAAAGAAAGAACGGAACAAATAAATAGAAAACAGCTTTATCATTGGTCTAATAAGTCAAACCTGACATCTAGATATAATAACAATCTTTTATTGGTATATTAATGAACCAAACGTTTCAAATAATGATCTGTCATATATTTTTTTTCTAATTAAAACAAATAAATCACACATTGAAATGGCGAATTATGTTAGTATAACATCACCACAACGCGAAACAATAGTTAGTGATCATAAATATCGTTTAAGATATTTTAAAACACCAGCTTGGTGTCCTTATTGTGAAGATTATATATGGGGTTCCGGTAATATTGGTTATCAATGTACAAATTGTGGTGATTATTTTCATGTTGAATGTACACTTGTATTAACAACTGGTACATGTCCCGGTTTAAATGCATGTCATACGAATAATCGTACTTTAATAACATATGATACAAGTATATCAATAAATGACTGGACAGTCAGTGATGTATGTGAATGGTTAGCTGTTGTTAATTTATATCGTTATGCACCAAATTTTCAATCATTAAAATATGATGGTGAAATTTTATTATCATTAACTGATGAACAATTAAAACATGATCATATACATGATAGTTATCAACGACAAGCTATATTAGATGCAATAAAAGAATTAAAAACACGTGATAAATATCGTCCTATATCATTTGAACGTTTTCGTACACAATTATCAACAAATAATCATGGTGATAATTTTATTTGTACAACATTTTATGAAAGACGTATATGTGATTTATGTGAAAAATATTTATATGGAATAATTCATCAAGGTTTACAATGTAGTCGTTGTGGTCTTGTTATGCATCGACAATGTTCAAAATTACCATCAAAACGTTGTATACATACAAATAAACAACTTGAATGTCATACAATTATTGGAACTGATTTTAATGATCAACCTATTGATTCTAAAACACAATTACCTATTATTATAACACGTTTATGTCAATCATTAGAAAATATTGTACAAGATAATCCTATCTTATCTTTAATCGATGCATATCGATTTTCTATTGAATCTGCACGTATTGCTCAACTGAGAAAATTAATCAATGATAACGTAAATAATGAAGAAATTTTTTTTATAGGATATAAATCTTTATTTTCTAGGATATTGAAAAAATGGATTTTAAAAAAATGGAATTATCAGAATTAGCTAGTTTAGTTAAAATTAGTCTTAAAGAACCAGGAATAGGTAAGTTAATGTAATAAGTATATGTCAGAATCATCGAATGATTGATAAATATAAAAACGAAAGTATGTATAAGGTTATTTAAATATCATGAGATTTTATCGACTGTATCCCGAATTTTTTTTTCACAGATAGTTATCAATCTCAGGTGACTTATTCATCATAAATATAATAATATTTTTTTTATAAAGACATATCGATAGTATTATAAGATAATGTATTGTCTAAAAATCCGTACATTTGCTCAATTGTTCTTTTATTAAAAGACAGAAACTAATAAAAATATATGTACTCGTATTGTTTATAGTTATTTTCGGTTAAATAAAGGTTAAAAGAAATTTTTTTTTGTGTCTAAGGTATTATACCAGATGAAAATTATGAAGATTTTCTTAATTTGGTTAATGCTCCAACACAAGTTATTCAAGAATTTGTTTGTAATTATTCTATGCCATTTTATGTTGATTTTCTTAAGTTTATGATGTGTCATATAATTAAAATTTGGAAACTTGATTATGATCTTGCTATGACAAATATAAATCAACATCATACAGTTAAACCATATGAACCCGAACGAGTTGTTGATAAACTCGTTGCAATATTTAAACAACTTATATTTCGGTAAGAAATAAAATCAATTATCAATAGGTTATTATTGTTTCGTTTTAGACCACCATGGCCAATGATAATGTCACATGCTCGTAACGATAAAGATCATGTTCATTTATTAAAACGTTTTATCTATGAAATCGATTGGAATGCTGAACGACCACCTTTAAATGCTTTTCAACAAACTCCATCAATCAATACATTAATTTCTCAACAACAATCGCTTGATAAATGTCCATGGTTTTATAATCGACAAGATAATCAATTGTTAACAAATAAACTTTCAACAAAATCTGTTACAATTAATGATGGAGATTATTATGTACGTTTTTCAACCGAAGCAAGTGTATCAGCACCATTTACACTCGTTGTTCAACTTGATGGTCAACAACGTTTCATTAAAATATGTATGAATAAACAAGGACAATATGGTTTTTCATTAAATTCATGTTTTTTTCCAACAATACAAGATTTAATTGAATATTATACGCATAATTCTCTATCAAAACATTTTCCTATATTAAATTCTGATATGAAATTAGCTAAACCAATTCGTCGTGATATATTTTTATCGAATATACAACATGATGATTTGGATAATTATGCAATTGTTCTATCAAATATTAATGATCAAAATCTATTACGTATAGCTTTACTTGAATTAACAATGAAATATAATGAAATGGAACATGATTGTGCATCATTAAAAATTGAACTTGATCAAATAATAACATATATGAGTGAAATACAACGATCAACAATGGCATATGGAAGGTATGATTTTTTATAAATCACTAAAAGATAAATACATATTTTTCTTTAATTAGAATTCAAATAATATATGAAAAACAAATGAAACTTAATCGTGATCATTATTTACAATGTCAAAAGCAAACTGAAAAAACTGAATATGATCGTTCATTTAAATATCTTGAACAACGTGTTGAACATTTTATTACTAATCTTAAAGGTTTAAATGCAACATTTACAGAACAACAATTAAAACGTGATCAATTAATAAAAACACTTGATGAAAGAAAAACGAATATGATTAATTATGAAAATAAAATTGCAACATGTATGAAAATACTTGCAGATAAAGGTGTTGAACAACATGAAATTAATAAGTATGAAGAAAAAAATTATTTTGATTTATTTATAGATTTTATTCTAATAGTTTTCTTGATTTACCAAATGATGAACCATGGTATTTAGCAACAATTAATCGTGAAACAGCTCATAGATTATTAAAATCATGTGTCGAAGGTACTTATCTTATACGAACATCATCAACTGGTCTTTATGCATTAACATTAGTTCATAATAATGTTATATATGATTGTCGTATTGGTCGTGATCCAAATCAAAATTATGCATTTCGATTTGTTGCATCAAATATGGATGGAAATAGTTTCGCTTATTGTGATCGATCATTTCGTTCATTGGGAGAGTTAGTTACATATTATACAGAACATTCTTTAGCTGAAAATAATCCCGATTTAAATACATGTTTAACAGTACCTATTAAATCGCATGCAAATATCAAAATATAGATTTCATTTTTTTTCTTTTTCTTTTTATATTTTAATGTGAAATAAATAAAGTTATCTCATTTTTATGTTGTCTGCTCATAAACTGGATTAAAATGAAGTTTTATTTCATTCCAACGAGTACATAAACGTTCACGTCGGTCAAACGTATCAGATTGTCTAGAAAAAGTTTCAAAACAAAAAAATAAAAATTAATCGAAAGAACTTTTTCATTGATTACCTTTTACGAAATGTTTCTTTCATTTTTTCATCAAATAATAAAGTAGTTTTATCTATTTCAACGACTACTGAAACAACTGGTTTAGATTTCGATGTTGTAGTTTTTGTAGGTTTAGTTTCTATAATTGGTTCTACTTCATCGACAATAGGAGGTTTACGTTCAGGATAATAGGATTCGAGTGAAGGAAAATGTTCCAATGGAACACGATAAAGACATAAAGATGATGATTCATTATCAGGAACTGAAATTAAATAAAGAAATTTTGATACTCAGAATACATATCCTATCTTATAGAATTACCTCCAATAATAATTGATCGTGCATCATCAATAAATGCAATTTGAATTGGATTATTTTCGTCTGTAGCTGATTGTGATAAAGTAATCTCACATAATTGTGTACATTTTAATGCATCATTTATATAAATACGATTCAATTCATTGATACTTAAAAACTAATATTTATAATATGAATTAAAACTCACCCAGATAGAAATAATAAAAATGACTTACTAAATTTGATGGATTACAATTAAAAAACATCATTCGAGTAATTTTTGATGAATCTTTACTTTGTTCTCTATTTAAAAAAAAATAGAAGTAACGTAAATCAATAAATTTATTTATTGAATTCAAATAATAATATACGTACGGAGGAAAACATACGATCATATTTTGTTGTTCATCATTATTTTCATTAGTTAATACAGATTTAAATTTAATTCGATAGATTTTACCATCTTGAGATAAAACAAAAAACCCGTTTTGTTTCTTTTGATTATGAGTATTTGTTGAACGTTCTAATGAATCAATTGCATGAATATCAATAGTTGGAACGGAACTAATATGTTGAATGGATGAAAGATCATTTACACCTAATGAAAAAAATTAAATATTATTTTTTATAATAATATTATTTTATTACCAGTTGTTCGTTCTATAATACAAACATTTCCTGATTCAAGTGCTACGGCAAGTTGTTCATGTTTTGAATCATAAGTTAAACTTGTAATATGACTTGAAAATGGCCATATAGAAATAGGACGAGCATCGGATGATTCTGAAAGATGAAAGTATAAATGAAATGAAAAAGAGACAAAGATTCGATTACCTTTTCCTTTATTATCCGGTTTAGCAACTTTGTAGATAAGTAATTGATTCGTTGTAGGCCAACTGATAGCTACAGAATTGACTCCTAAAATCAATGAAGTAAAGAAATATCGCTTTGTAGATTTTTTAAATATGATTATTTTTATTTACCTGTTGCTGTTGCAGCTGGAATAAAAAGAACATGAGGAGTTCTAAAAAAGAAGTTAGACTAAATTTCATTTTTCATTTGTGTCTTCAATACTTACATTGCTGGAGGTGGTTCTGCTTTAGGTATTGTTGGTGGTCGTTCATTTACATCAGTCTTCTTTGCTGGTAACATTAAATCTCTAATTAACATTGTTTTTAAATCAATAATCTGTTGTGTATAAAAATGATTTGATGTTCCTTGTCCAATATTCGATAGATTTTCAGTATTTTTCATTAATTGTTGAATATTATTTGTTCCTATAGATCATTATATTCAAATAAATCGAAATGATTACTCCTATTTATCCTTACCTGGACTAAATTTAGGTACTTTAGCTTTGAATACTAATGTTGGACGAGAGAATTGGCCACGTATTAATGTTGGTTCACTATCTACGACTTGTTCTACTACATTCTCTTCTGTTTGATTTTTACTAGCAGCTATTGACTATTAAAAATATATTTTCAAGAAAAAAAATAAATTTTAATTAAAGCAAAAAACCTGTTCTTGAGTTGTTATTTCTGATTTCCATTGTTCTTTCGATAATTTATATATTTCTACCCATGAATCATTATTAGTACCTAAAATGATATAAATTTTATTACAAAAAACGTTTTTTCTATGAAAGAAAATTCTTAATTTTACCAAACCAAGAAACAGCTAAATATTCATCATTTAAACCAGTTTGTGTCATTAAACATGTAGGTCTTTTAGTATCATCCTATAGAAAAAGAAAATTTTCTTAAGTTAATAATTAAATTTTTTCTCTTCATACGTCTGTTTCATATTGTGTGAATAGAAGATAATATTGTTGATTTTTATATGCAATCATTTTCCAATAACCTTCAATTTAATATATTAGAAAATATTCAAGATTTTTTTCAAACATACCTAATTTATCAATGATACTTAAAAAATAAATTGTATTTTTTACTGATGCTTCATTTTTGAATACATTCATTTGTTTGAATGAATTATCAATGGGAATTTGATTTATAATTTCATCAACTTGACTATCATAACAAACCAGATATGATTGTTCATTTTGAGTACCATTGAAAAAACATAAAGTACCAGAAATATGACTACCGATAAGTGAAATAGGTATTGAAGTCTAATTATAAAAAGGGGAATATATATATGGTTAAAAAAAATGATCTTACATTTATGATTGTTGATGATGTATGTTGAGCTGATACAAATTTTGCTTGTTCTGAGAGACGTTGTTTTTCACGTTGTTCAATGATTGTCCATGCATCATCAAATATTGATTCAAGTATTTTATTTATTCGTCTAGAAATTTTCAAGAAAAAATTTTCGTTTATTTTCACTTTAGTTTTAAACAAACCGAAATGGTTGTGGTAATTGATCAAATATTAATGATGGATCTAATGTAAAATCAGTTTGATCATTTAAATAACCTTGTCGAGATGGAGTTGGAATGAATGGTTCATTAATTGATACACGATCTCTAAATAATTAAGAATAAATTCCGCATATTATATAAATAAATAAACAAACTTTGTTGAAGTTGTTGATGAACTTTTAACTTTTGTACGACGTCGAGTACTACTATTCATTATTAGAATTTTTATCTAAAACGAATGATGAGAAATAATATTTCGTTTCCTTGTTGCCCTTAGATAAATGTATTCGAAAATATTAAGATGAAAAAAAAATGTACTATACAATAATGTTCTTTTTCTTAAAATATGAAAAAGAAGAGATGTTTATTCGAGAATTCTAAGAACACTATCTTCGCCAAGTTCTTTTCGAAGTTTTGCATCAATACGATTCCAGTCAATATCAACCTAAAGAAGACAATAAGTATGTTTTAATTACAAAAATGTATAACTAACAGTTTTCATTGCTTGTATATATTTCTGATTTGTTTCTTTTTTACCACCACCATAATTTTTTAAATATTTTTGTCGATAACCTACAACTATGTCTAAATATTGTGGATGTCGTTGGGTTAAATCAATTGCTCTAGAAAACAAAAGAGATGATAATTCCTATTTAAAAGTATCAATGAGTTTAATGTTTCCTAGTTTCTGAAGGCCAGTGGCGTATCTCACGGGATGAATTATAATAGTATTCAACTTGTTCGACACGCTACTGGTCTTCAAAAACTAGAAAATTCCAGATATCTGTACTGATTTTTCCGATTTTTTGAGCGAGGTTAGAAACAAACCTATCCCAGTTATGTTCGTTAAGATGTAACATAATAGCATGAAGTGGTTTATTTCCTTGTAAATAATATCCTTCAGCTTCATGTAAATTTCCACCAGCAAGTAATGCAAGTTCAGCTTCACGTTCTTCTTTTGATGAAATTGAACGTAGATTTTGTAAACAAAAAACCATTTCAGTCTAAATTAGTTTTTGTAAAATATTCCGATTTTTGTTAATATTTTATATTTACATTTGATAATTGTGCAAAAGCATTTTCTGCTGAATCAAAATCTCGATTATGTAATGATATAACAGCAATCAATGCATAAATAGAATTATCCTAAATAAAAATCATTATTATTAATTTATTTATTTCGAATATTTATATTTACAGAAATATATTGACATAATTGTAAAGCTTCTTCAGCTCTATTTGCATCAAGTAAAGCAAGACAAAGTTCATAATAAATAGGTATTGCACATTGAATCAGTGCACCTGTTGATTTACGAATTGTTATTTGACAACTAAGAAAATCTGAGATTGATGGATTTTTACCAAAATCACTAATATAATCAAAATAATTTAGATATATATAATTATCTATAAATTTACTTTGTTTCAATTCGATATGTTGTTTTATCAACTAAACTTTGATCAATAAAAACAACATTTGGATATAGCCAAATATTGAGTTTACCATCAGCCATACCTGCTAACATACCATTTTGATCATTCCATCGAAAGCTACCAATATTAGTATCTACAAAAAATATATTTATGAATGATTTTCAAAAGAAATATACTGAAATAAAATATACAAAGTTTTCGAATTCGTTGATGATTTAATCGTTGAGTTTGTCCCGTTACACGAACATGCATAAGAAATAAATCTTGAAATTTATCTGCAAATGCAAGTTTACGTTCATTAGCTGAACCCATTTGGTCAAGCGCTAAATGATTTATTTCATGCTACAAAAGACAATAAATATAATTCTAGACAAAATATTGTTATTTACAGCATGAGATATTAATTTTCCATCACCAATCGGTTTACCACTGATATCATACAGCATAATCGCTAAATTAGATAGATTAAAATAGTTGAAAAACTTTCAAATGTTATTTACATTTTGTATCTGTAGCATCACGAACAGCAACAGTATCAGGACTAATCGAAACAGTATTAATATTGATTGAATCAGATTTCGATGATATTAATTTAGGTGTTGAAACAAGACGACCTTCATATGAGTAAATAGAAATATTAATTCCATCCGACAGAAGAAAATATCTATATGAATTAATTTACAAAAAAGACATGAGTTTATTCATAATTTTTGTCTTACTTTTCTGCTTGAACAATTAAACTCATTGACATATCACGTAAATCAAAGAGAGCCGGATGACCTAATTGTTTACAACTGAATAAATTTAGATAAGAATCAATTTATATATATATCTTATTTAATTATTTTCTTTACTTATAAATTAAACCTTGATTACTTGTTAAAACAATTAAAAATCCAAAACCAACAGACATTTTAACAAGACGATCTTTAAGTTCTATTTTATCTTTTAATTCTGTTTCACAATTGCTTACAGTTATTACTTTTGAATCAGTTAAAACAAATTCTAAATGACGCCAATCGATACGACTAAAATATAAATATAATTATGTTTTTTTTTCTCTTGATATCAAATGTAATAAATCATTACCGTTCAATAATATGTCCAATTCCAACTCGACCTGTACCACAACCACATGCTAATTGTGTACTATCATTTGACCATGATAAACCAAATATACTACCATCTTTAGGTTTTTCTACTGAATGACACCACTAGAATAGAACAAATATTATTGTATTCATATTAATTAGAGCATCGATCAAAATGTTTATTAGGAAAAATAAAATCTGTGAGTATTTGATTAGTATTTTTTTTTAAATTTTCAACTCAGACTTAATAAACGCAGATTACTTTAAAACATCTTAGTTAAGCAGAGTTCGAATATTATTAAATTGTTTGATTGTTGAATTCAAGAGTGATAATATATTAGCATAAAACTGATCATTACTCAATTGATATCATCTATATCTTTCACATTGAATACTGGCAAATCTATGTTTTCTTAAAGCAGTTTAAATCGAATACATACACCAGCACTATCACATAAACGTATTGTATTATAAGAACCCACAGCAAAATTTGAACCATCTGGTGCCCATGCAAGACTTGTAATAGGATAATCAAAAGTATGACTAGCAAATAATGGTCGACCGACAGCATCCCACACCTTTATATAAATGATATATTAAATTAAACAAAAAAGAACGAATAATATAAAAAAGGACTTACTTTATATCGACAATCTTCACCAGCAGATATAATTAAATTATTAACTGTATTCCAATCACATTTCAAAATAATTTGATCATGTGCTTTCCACTAAATTGAACAAGAAAAAATACATGAACTTTATTTTTTTAATTATTAAAATTTTTATACTGAATTTTGTTTTAAATTAGGTGAAAGTGGTTTTATAACAAGATGTTTTCCTGCACAATAAAGTACGGCATCGTTATCAGCCGACCAACATACACAAAATATAGGTGTTGCTAAATATATTAACATTTAACAATAAGTAAATAATGATAATAAAACAAAATTCACCTAATTGAACAAGATTCGAACGTAACATGCCTGATCGTGCCCAGATTCGAACTTGACCATCTTCTCCACCTGAAAATTAAATTTCATGTGAAGAAAAGTAGAAAACTATACAAGGAAAATAACCTGTTGCAAATTGACTGCCATCTGGACTCCATCGAACACAAATAGCTGCACCACGATGTGCTTCTACACTTTTTTCTATTCGTCCAGTTTTATTTATAAAACAAAATTTACCTAAAAAATTAAATTCAAATACTTTTGATTATAGAGAAAAATATTTAGGTAATTATTACCATCGCTTGTTGTTAGAACAAAAAGATCTGATCCAATTATACGTTTTCCACCTGAAATTGTACTTGATCCTTGTCCACCACTACTAACACTTGCTCCTTTTGGTAACCAATGCATATCTAATGCATAAATATCTTGTGCTAATTCAGCTATTTTAATCGTTTCATTTTGTATAATATTATATTTGTATATAATATGATCTTCTCCTACTGAATACAAATCATCTGCTGACATCCATCCAACGCAATCAACACGATCAGTATGTTGAAGTGTTGATGGAAATGTAAATTTTAAACGCATTGTTCAATAAAACTATATCTGAGCGAAACCTATATAATTATTCAATAATGAACAGTATTACCATTATTAAAGAATGTTACTTAGTAAAAGCCTTTCCAAAGAATACTATCAACTGTATGATTGGCTGCATATTGATCGAATAAAAAAGAATAGGAAGAAAATAAAATAATATAGGAATAATTTATACATACTCCGTCACATTAAATAAACAATATTTTGAATGCCTCAATTAGTAAAAGAGCTATCATTTCAACGATTTCTTGATTCATTAAAATTAACACCAAAACATCGTCTAGTTGAATTTGGAGGTAGACTAGTATTATTCTTTATTTGATAATAAATTCTATTACTAATTTAGATATATGGGTGGAAATCTTTCTTTGGTGCTTTATGACATCCATAGTTGTACATTTAATTGCTACAGTAGTTGCTATTATATCATTGAGAAGTCATAAAATTGGACGATGGTATGCAGTACTTATTGCTTTAGCTGGAATCATTACACCAATTGTTCCATCAGCTCTTACTAGTAAGCAGATCTATATATCTTTGAAAGAATAGAAATATTATTGATTCAATTTTTACTTTTAGGTGCACTTCTTTCAGCTATATTCTATGCTGCATCAGTGGAAATAAAACCATTTTTTTGTTTTATACTTGGTGTTGGACAAACTGGTGTCATATTATTCTTTTCTTTTCTCAAAATTTTATCAACATTATAATTATAATTATCTCAAGTTAATTATTTGCAATTTTTCTTTTATTTATTTTATTATCAAAAATGTTTTTACTATAAGTGTGTATTATTTATGGCTTCAAGTCGATCAAACAATATCAAATTTTGAAAACAATGCTGATAGTATATGCAAAAGATTTATTTGAAATTGATTTTATTTGTCATAAACAGAACATTTTTATGTAATATTGTTTTTCTTTTCTATTTTTATATACAGATAGATAAATACAGAAGAAAACGTTTGAATTAAATGAATGATTTCTATGTAACAATAAATAATTGTATATATGCAGTTATAAGTAGAGAAAAGAAAGTTACATAATATTTTATAGATCTAGATAGACGAGTTATTACATATAACCACCTTGAGCTGGCTGTGAGAACATCTGAGGTGGTTGTTGAGGTGCGTTAGACATCATCATAGGTTGCTGAGGATCCATAAATGGTTGTTGTTGTTGTGGCATTGGAGCCATAACTGGTTGTTGTTGTTGGGGCATTGGAGCCATAACTGGCTGTTGTTGTTGTTGTTGTTGCATTGGAACCATAACTGGCTGTTGTTGTTGTGGCATTGGAGCCATCACTGGTTGTTGTTGTTGCATTGGAGCCATTACTGGTTGCTGTTGGGGCATTGGAGCCATAACCGGTTGTTGTTGCTGTGGCATTGGAGCCATAACTGGTTGCTGTTGAGGAACTGGAACCATAACTGGTTGTTGTTGGGGCACTGGAGCCATACCCGGTTGCTGTTGAGGAGCAAAATTTTGTCCTTGCTGCATTGGCTGTTGGACTGGTGCAGGCTGAACATTTCCCTGTTGCATGGGCATTTGTTGTGGAGGAGGTTGTTGTCCAGCAACTTGTGGTTGACCTCCTGCATGTTTTTGTTTATGTGCAGCTGAACCCATTGTATTTTTCTTAGAAAGAGTTAGTTGTCGAAAAGCTGATAAATAAATGATAATATGACAGTAATAGCAATAATAATAATCCAATGAGTAAAAATCACTCAAGTGCATCTTTTTCTTTCTTGTTTATTTCATCCTGCATGCGTATATCGGTAATTGAAGGATAAGATATATTTATATAGTTTTCATGGAGTTTATTGGCCGTACACTTCATGAGTCAGTAAATGATAGCTTTCATTATTATACAATTAAAAACTGCAATGATGATCAGAATTTATTAATAGCAAATTTTGATATCAACCAAATGTACTGTAGAATTGAAATTAAAACTAATTATACTAATTTTATTCTCAATTTTATAAGAAAATAAAACATTCTCTCATAGCATCATAGTCGATCTGTTTCAAATTGAAATCATTTTTGTTTATTTTTTTTATCATGTTCTCTAGTTTATCATAATTACTTACATCACGTTAGTTTAATTTATTATTGAATAATCTATTCACAAGTAGTAAAATCTATTATATTGTTTATTTATTTTAATAACGTTTTAGAAACTTTAATCAGATTTTTATTATTGCATTATATACCTAATTGATTATTATCAAAACTATTCTTTTATTCAAATAAGATTTATTTTGAGATGTTTTATTTAGCATTAATCGACGTTATTATCTTTGACATTTTCTCATATCTCTCAAGCACGTTTCTTTATCTTCTCTATATACATCTTGTCATTGAAAATAATAAACGGCAAATAGGCATCATATACAAACTTTACAATCATGAAGCTACCAATGAAATAGAACATGAGTCAATCGATAAATAGCAATAATGTTTGATTCTTTTTTTCTTTCCTTATCACATAAGACGTCTGTATTTATGCTTTAAGGGCAAAGCAATGCTATAGTGTAATTTGACCAAAATCGAAATTACGTAAATCATTTTTTCATCTTTTTTTTTTCTTTTAGTTACCCCATATAAAATTTATGACAGTTGGAAGTAAAGATCAGAAATAATGTAACGTAATTATTCTCTATTTGAGCTAGAAACAATTGTAATATGATTATTTATGACCTATTATCTTCTATGAAATATTATCTAAGAATACTAATTAATATATATAAATAGGCTAGTAATATTATGTTTTACATTTTATAGATTGAAATCTAGTTCACATATTAGCATATCTTCTCAGTTTGCGGATAACCACATGTAGTGCTTTGACCTACCACTCGTATACACAGTATAGAAAATAAAAACCTAACAGGAAAGAGCGTTTTTTTTCGCCAAAGTTATATAAAATACAACAATGTCTTATTTTTTCTCGTCCTACAGACTAAGGAAGCTGAGTATAAATGTATTGATGCATTGTCTAATGCAATAGTAGCAATAACAAAAATAGTTGTTCTGTAGTATTTAATAAATACTTTTCGTGTAGGAAAAAAGAAAAGAAGGAAAAGAAATATATATAAGGGTTATGAGTGTATCGCATAACCTACTCGAGAGCAAACAGTATCGAACGTATACCCAGAAAGTTTAACTTACGAAGACGAAAACAAGAAGAAAAACATGTGAGTAATAAATCAAAAAGAAAGACATTTGATTACTTCGTTTTATGTCTTTTATACTTGATATAATCGTATTTTAAATTCTATTAATGCTCGTTTTATTTCTTATAGGAAAATGGATAAAGTATCAACAATATCAAATAACAATCATGATCATTCAATTCCTAATGATAAACAAACAACTAAATTTGCTCGTAGTCGTTGGTTTCATGTTCTTGCACTTGCTGATCAACTTCGTCAGAATACAGAACTTAAAAAAAATGAACAACTACGACAATATGCATTTGATATTCCAGTAGCTGATAAACGAGAAGCTGTCGTTATAGAATCTGTTGAAATACAAGCTGATCATGTTAAATCTTTTCAACATGAACTTTTATTTGCTAAAACTGGCAATTTTAATTTAGATAATTTAAGTGAAAATTTTTCTGATCTAAAACGTACATTTAATCGTATGCTTGACCTGAATAACGATGATTTAAAACAAGTAAAATTAGCAACAACAATAACAAAAACAGCTTTATTAATGGTTTTACGTGCAACAGAATCTATTGTTGAAATTAAAACAAATGGAACACGAAAATTTCCAACATTATCTTCAATTATTTCATATATTCGTTCACATGGTGGAGAAATGGTTATAAATGGTCAACTTCTTGTCGAGTGGTATAAAGTTGCACAAACACTTGATTTAATTATAAATGATCCTGACTGGCTTGTACAACCTCGTAAAGCACATTGGGCTATGCAAGTATGTAATGAAACATTAGCTTGGGCACGTGGTGTTTTCAATGAGAATTATCGTAAAAAATCTATTGGACGACCAATATTCGATCGTGATGATAGTATAATTATTCCTGAAGTACAAGACAAATAATGAATTATTTATCATATATTTAAATAAATATATACATATGCAAATGTCTATATTTTATCACAAGCTTAAATTACATGTATTCATGCTTAAAAAAAGAAAGACAATTTGAGTATTTTACTAGTATTAAAAGATGTATGGAATGAAGAAGAAAAAAATTGCTATATATAAAAAAAAGAACTTGCTAGAGTAAAAGAATAGAATTATTTTTGTTGTTTTTCACGTAATGGCTTTTTTTTAAATAAACCAGCTGGTTCTGTACTTAAATTCATTTTTAATTTTGCTTCTTTTATATCGCTAGGTTTGAATATAGGTGTTGATTCAGATTCAATAGGTTGTGTAGGATCAGTTGCTGGTGGTTTAGTCATATCAATAAAGCCTGCATTAGCTTCATCATCAGCTGGAAAAACAGTGAATGGATTTGTATAAACAACTGCTGATGGTATCATTACAATACCACCTATATAATATAAGAAAAAAACAAATAATTTCGATATATAATTGTATAAAAAAAATAAATAAATAACATACGATCTTTAGTCTTTAAATGTACATATCGAACATCAATATAATGAACCAGACCTTTTTAGTTTTAAAATATTACAAATAATTCTATTAGAATTGAAATAAATTTACCTTCAATTCCTCCACCACCTCCATGAACTTTAATTCGACATCCTCGAACAAAGGGTTTATTTATAACAAGAAAAACGCCTGATATAAAATTTGTAGCTACTTCTTTAAGCGCAAAACCAATTGTAAAACCTGTTATACCAATACCAGCTAGTAATGGTTTCGTATCAACACCTAATGTACCAAGTGTAGTAATACCAATAAATGCATAGATTGTAACTGCAGCTGTTTTTGATATTAATCGTGCTAAATCCGCATCTTCAATTATATGTGAACGAATAAAAAGACGTTCAATTGGTGAAGAAAGTGCTAGAAAACGTTTTATTTGTTGCATTGTTGTTAGTGATGTTGTTGAATCTGAAGTTGTTAATGGTTTCGATTCTACAGAATTACTTCTTCCTATGAACCAACGAAAGAATCGACGTATACGACCAGGTGGTCTTTTATTTGACATATCATCAGACAAGTAACGATTTTGTTGTTGAGAAAAAAATAATAATTTATTATTATATGATGTTATTAAACATCGATTTGCAATATTAGATGTATTTATATTAAGTCGAGATATTACCAATAATGATCGACAATACATATTTAAATCTATTCTACAAATTATAATCTAACAACAAGAAAAGAAAAGCGATATATCTGTAGTATTAAAATTAAGAAATACCTTTTATTATTTCATTTCATTTCTTGTACTATTGAAAATAAGATTATTAATAGATAGATAGATATATTGAGTCAGTTTCTTTTTATTTCAACAAAATATGAAAAGGATAAACAGAAAAACAAACGTAAATGAAAATAAAATACTACTTATATCTAAGAATAACAATATATTTATATGTATATATATGTATACTAGTTTTGTATTAGTGTTATAGGAGGTGGTACTTTTAGTTTTTCTCGTCGAACGGTTTCACTCAATGTAATTATTGGAATTTTACAAATGCCATAAGATGCATATGCAACAACATTTCGATTTGGTTCAGGATCCATTGCTTGTGTTTCAAGACCATAAAATGATCCTAATTCATGTATTAAGTGACGTTCATTGATTTTCATTGGTTTAAATGAATGGCATCGTTTTGAAACACGATGACGTTGAGTATCTTCAACAAGTTCTGTAAATTGTCGTTCAATAGTCTTAACAAATTCTAAATTTTTCTTTGCATAATCACGTAAAAAATCTGTATAAACAAGTGGTGTTTGTCGTGATTCATCGGGATTAATTGATAAAGCTTGAGCTAAATTTTTATTTCGTTGTATAATACGACATTCATCATCGCATTCTAATTGTGCTGGCTGATGTTGTTGTTTTCGTGCCAGTGATAAATCTATTGTACGAACAGATAATGCTTGAACAAGTGATTGAGTTAAATCATTATCATCTCTTCCTTCATTTGATTCATTAGATTTTGCATTACAAACAATATCTTTTACTAGTCGACCACATGGACAACGACTTTTAATTGTTTCTCGACATGTTGTTTTTACAGGACATGGTTCATGTCCATGACATGTTGCATTACAAGGATGACCGCATTCACGTCTTTTTATAGTACATCGTTGTGTACATTTTTGATCAACTAATTGACATGGACCCGAATGACATGCACGTTGACATGTATGAACTCCACATGGAAGTGGTTTACCACATGGTTGACCACAAAGTACTTCTTTTAAATGGCAAGGAACCTAGACGAAAGAAAAAAATTAATTTTTTCAATATAATATTTTAACAATAGATAAAAATCTTTACTTACACTATTACGTAATGTATGTTCTCCAACACACATTTTTGAAACAAGATGTGTACACGGTGGACATTCACTTTCGTTATGACAACTATGATAAACTGGATGATCACATGTATGTGGTCGATTACATTTATAATTGCATGCTGGAGGTTGTGTACCACATGCAATAGGTGGTTGAAGAATAGTTTGTCCACAATGACATGTTAATTCATCATAACTATTTACTGGGCATTTACGACAAAACCCTTTATGACATAATTCTTCACATTGACTAAAAGAATATAGAATATTAGTATTTTTTCTTTTCCTTTTTGTTTTTTTTAATACATACTGAACACCGCAATTAAGTGGTTTACCACAGACTATTTCACAAACATGAATATCACGATCACAACATAATTCATTACATCTATAAAAAAGAAAAATAATAATATTGTTTTAAATTTTTTTGATAAAAAATAAAAGTAACTAACCGATGTTTTAAACATAATTTCTTTTTATTACATCGTCGTTCACAACAAAATGGATTTCTTATTGGATCATACTGAGCAGCTTCTATACATGATGTAGATTTACTTGATTGTCCACAGCGACACTGAAGAATTGATTGTTTATCACATGGTGGACATAATCCATTGTGACATTGAGCTGAACATCGATGATGATCATCTATTGGACCACATGAAAGAATTTTTTCACATGATTTCTCACAAGTTGGTAACTAAAAAAAACGTTTCTTATCGAAATTAATTCTATCTAGTTTTTCTTTAATCATACTGGATCAAGACATGATGTTCGTTGGTGATTATCCATAGTTGTTTTTCTACATGCACATGTTTTACAATTTTCTGGTAATAATAAACAATCAGGACATGGTCCATCATGACATGTTTTTGTACATTTATGATGACCACATTGAAGTAATTTTCCACATGATTCACCACATGTAAATGTAGTTGTACCTCCAGTTTCCGAAGTACATAAAACTTCTCGTTCAGTTCCATGTGATGAGCATGTTTGCTTAATTAATTGATCACATGGTTCACATTCTCGTGGATGGCAAATCTAAAAAAAATTAATAATCATAAATAAAAAAATGATTTCAATATATCAATTAATATATACCAATTCACAATTGTGATGTCGACAAGATTTACGTTTTCCACATTTATTTTCACATTTAATTATTAAATTTGAACTACACATAATAGTACGAGTTTCTCGTCCACATAAACAGGAACGTTTTATCATTGCTGTACATGTTGGACAAGGACCCGGATGGCAAAGTCTAATAGAAGAAAAAAAGTTACAAATATTATAAAATAAATCTTAAATTGAAGAAATATTTTTACTCTGAACAACGATGATTACAATCATTAGATTTTGTATTTAATCGTCTAGCACATTCAGCACCACATGAATGTGGTGTATCAGCAGGTTGAAATACTGGATTAACACGTTTATGACAAAAACAGGTATAAAGTGGATTTGTTGAATAGGAATATTGACAGCCTGGACAACGCCAATTCTTATCTGTACCACTTTCTTCTGAATTAGCCCATTTTCTAATACAATTTAAATGAAACATTTTATAACATATATCGCATGACCATATTTCTTCATGTCGACTAAAGTGAAAATAAAAATATCAATAAATTCTCTATCAATATTTTTCTTTACGATAAAAATAAGAAACTTACTCAATTTTAATTATACATATCATACATTCATAAGTATTTTCTAATAATTGTTGTATTAATGTTGAACGAAGATTTTCTGCTTCAACAGTTGTTCGTCCTGATGAATTACTATTCGGACGAGTAGTTACTTGTTGATGTGACTGTGATGAGGCTGGATGACGAAATTGTGGTCGTCGTTGTTGTTGATGATGATTTTGATGATTTTGAGGATGTTGATTGTGATTGTAGCGACCTCCACGTGAAGGTGGTTGCCCATAATAATACTCATCATAATACATATTATTTGAATACCACTGTTGTTGTTGATATTGATGTTGGTATTGTTGTTGTTGTGATTGTTGTTGCTGTTGTTGTTGTTGTGCTCGATGGCTATAGCGAGCGTCTTGCGAACTTGTTTGCATTGGGCGACGTTTTTGTTTTCTACTGTGATTATGACTATTATCGTTATTATTAGAATTTGAATATGTATCTTGCAAGTGTATATTTTCAGATTGATTTGATGCAGCGAAACTTTCTGTCATTGTTCTTCTAAAATAGAATGAATTTTGAAATTATTTAAAAGTAAAAAATAACTGAATATATATATGTTTCAGTTACTACAATGCCTACGTAGGGGAAGTTGTAATTTCGAAATTTATGACTATATTTGTACTATATGACTCAGGGTTAAAATCACACGATTGTAGTGATTCTGGTAATTTCATTTTATTTCGGTGCATTACAGAGGCAGACTCACTACCTATATATATATACGTATATATACATATATGGTTTAGTAGTTTCAAATATGTAAGTTTATCTGTCCAGTATCCAGAATCATCAAGAAAAGAAAATATATAGGTTATGACTCATCTCTCCGTCATGAAAACACGCTCTTACATGTTCGATCAAAGATGTCGTTCCATATCGGTTACCATATTAAATATGAGTGAGAAAACCACAATAGAAATACAATATATATGTAAAATAAACATTAACTCTATGGTCTTTATAATACGGTTAGAGAAAAAATTTTGAGTAGATTATGAAAAATACAATTAGTACACTGCTCATTTGCTGATTTAGACTGAATCCGACGCTACTATAAAGACAAATCAAAAAGCTTTTCAAATTTTGCTATCTCTGTTCAGTATAACAACATTCAACAAGGAGAGACAATCTCATTCAGACACTTTGAGCCGTTCCCTTCCATTTCTGTTCAATCTGAGTCGAATAAATAGGTCCAGCGTTTGTCTAATACCTGATTAAAGGTTGCAGATCAAAGGTCATTGATCAAGGATAGACCGTCAATCTTACGGGGATAACTTAGATATTTCAAATCATGTTCAGCCACTCGCAATCCTTTTTATTTGGTTTGAAGATGTTTTTGAGAAATAAATAGTAGATACCGAATTGAACTTCATCGTTATTGCTAGAATTTCACTAGTTTTCTAGCTCTCAAATTTTTGGAAAAGTTTCTAAGCGATATTTATTGCTAACGATATCAGAAATAGTAACGGATACCAACTTTTTCATATTTTGTTCGAAAACATTAGTCGATTTTTATTAGTATATTATATGTACTAGTATGAAAATATTCTTATAATTATTAAATGTAAGTGTCACACATGTCATTTGAATCAAGGATAATTTTTTCCTATCAAAATAAATAATTTTATTAATCTAGCTAATAAAAGTTTCTTTCAAGATGCTCATTTTGTTTTTTAAGGACAAAATTGACTTAATAATAGTAACAACAATATATATTTTTTCTCTTTCTTGAAACCTTTCACTTATTCATATTATATTGAAAACAAACGAAATAAGCAATACAATATATGATCAGCATTTTAATTATATATATTTCGACGAGATGAAAAAAGAAATCTTTGAAAAGATTTTTGATCAATATTATTGAATTATTTTTAGTATATTATACAAATTCACGTGATCGACATGAAATTCTAATTTCTACTCGATTTTATATCGAATAAAAGTTCTTAACACATGATGTGATTCGCTTTATTTGCATACAAATCGTATTCATATTATTCCAAATCCAACAATATGTTCTATACAGAAACTTAACGAATTTCATATTTGATTAGCCCGATGTTATTTAGACTAATTCAGTTAACTATTTATACATAGTTTTTACAATATGATGAATTAGTCTTCACTTGGAAAAATAGTTATTTCGTCTCGTGAATTATTAGTAATATAATCAAATCTTTGCAAAAATGATTTTAGATCGTATATTTATTCGAGAGCAAATTGAAAGCCAGATTAAATAAGATATATATAGCAAAATTAAAAATTTATCTTTTGACAAAGTAACTAGTATGTCTCCGGACGATTGATATTAGGAAAGGTATCATGTCGTAGTACAATATCGTGTAATACCACAATAAGAAAAATACGGCAGATAATAAACATAATAGCCATTACAGTTTGTTACAAGAATCGTGGAAATCGAATATGAACTATAACACAAGTTGCCACTATAATTAACACAGTACATACCCAATGTTGTTGAACCAGAAGTGGATGGAAGAGTACCATTGAACCAACCCGGATAGTCTGTGCAACAATAATTTACGCTACTCGGAGTTGTAGCTAATTTAGTACCACCACTTCCTGAAAATCGATACCATCCAGTTGTCCAACTACACTCAGTATAGTAATTACCGGTACATGTAGTAAGGCGTGTTACATCGGAAATTGATGTGTATGTACTACATTGGGAAGGTAAACTACTTGAATCTATATTATTTGATTAGAAAAAAAGGAAAAAATTTGATAGTCTTCTCAAGAAATATCACATACCAACTGTATCTGTCGTTCCATTAGAACATGTTTGAGTTTGTGATTCTATAATAGAAAATATTTGCTTTTTTATGATTATTTACTAATCACTCTATTAAACTTACTCTGTTGCAAATACAATGTAGTCATAACTGCTAATGGAACACCACAAATACACAAACCAACGACAATTCCTATTAAAGATGCCAGTATAACATACTTTTTACTTGGAAGCATGGATCTTTCAGTTAAAAGTATAGAAGATAATATTTTTATTTTAGTTTTATTGCGATATTTAGTACTTACTTTTTCGCTGCATCGGTTGGATATGGATTTTGTGTCATTATAGTTGGTGCCCATGATTCTCGTAGAGCTGGTGGATACGAGTATGGTGTATTATTATTGTATCTTACTAATGCCTGAACATCAGATGGACGCGTTGTTGGAGAAAATTGTTCATTCGGTGATGGTAAAACTTTTGAAGTTCGATACATACTCATTGTTGGCAAACTTTCGTCTACTTTATCCCAACTGCTCTTTGATTCACTGATACGTGGTTCGCTGAACATGTATATGAATGATTCTTTTGTTGCTTTTCAGCATCAATTTATTAGATTTTTTGAATAAATTAAAATATCTTATTTCATGTAAACATAAGTTTTCATCAGTCTAGATGTCCATAATTATATTTACCTTCGCACTCCTCGACAGTAGGAATCTGTGTAATTTCGAGCGCATAAACTGAATTAATAATAGAAATATATAATATATTTTTGGATGCTGGCATTGTTGGTATGTATGAAAATATTTGTAGAAATTATTTTTCTACAATAAGCTTATGATTTTTGTAAATGTTTTATACTATACAGAGTTACCAAGCCTCCTGATTTTTAGTACTTATTGCAAGCTCACTTCGTAAATGACGCGAACACGATTTCAACGAAAATAGTAGAAACTCGGTTAACTCTTCGTCGTCATAGATCAAAGTTCCAAAAAAACCTTCTTTATCGAAAAATATAATCATGGAGATGCGGCTAAGGATTAGTAACTCATAGTTAAAACAGATAATTATTCTTTACGATGGAAATATGCACAATCTTCGAAAACTAATTCAGTTTCTTTTTCAGTACTTGTATGCAATGCCTATTGTTAATCAATTTCTAGTCATATGAAATATTTATGAAGTAATGAAAGAAACCGAATCATCAATATACTCTTGTGATTCTTAATAAAAGGTTAAAATGAATGATCAGTTTATAGGCATATTGATATGCATTATATCAATTATACTTCTCGTTATTTTACTTGAAAGACAAACATTTCTATTACTCACTTGACAGAAAATATCAGAACTGTTTGTAGGAGGATTAGTTTGTTTGTCTGGAAGAAAGATAAATGGTTCTTATTATTTTTGCCTGATTTTCTACACAAAATCTCCTTGTCTACTACTGCTTTTTGTCGAAAATACTGTGATTTCTAAAGTATGAATTTGGCAACCCTGATACTATATCAATTTTTTTATCGATCTACAAATTTGTTCTTATTTTATGTTTTCTTTATCCTAGTAAAAAAATATATGCATGATTTATTATTTGTTTCAAAAATAAATTATGTTTTATTCAATATTGTATTCAAAAAGAAAACTTATTAAAAATTTTCTCGTAGATGAAAATATATATGGATCAAATAAAAACAACAACAATGGAAGCGCTAGATTAGTATAGAAGCCTGGATAATTCAAAATGTGCCTCTAATACATCTGATAATATTAAAATATTTGTAAAAGTATCGTAATTCAATGAAGGAGATACTTCGATATCAAAAAAACTATTGTCTATTACTTTATATATCATTTTTTATATTCACACAATTTTTATTTAGATCCTACTACCAGTCTGCAGATGAATACTTATTTTCTCTAATATGAATGACAACTTTGGTGTTTAAGCTTTTTCATGTATAACCTTACTTTTTAATGTAATAAATCGCTTCTTCCATTCATATTGTTTTGCTATCAATAATTAATATGATACTTGCTACTTTCACAATATGTATCACTTTATCTAAGTATGCAGAGGAATACAAATATAGATTTTCACATTTTGCTTTTCATACTTTTTCGTTACAAATGACAGTACATCGCAGAAAATCATTTAATCGTTCTTTTTAAGAAACTCTAGTTTTCTACATGACGTCATTGTGCCATGGTAAAATAACATGGAGCATAGGCTAGTTGGACTGTAATATCTTTTTGAAATGTCAACAACTGTTTATTAGAAATAGTTTTGAGCTTTTTCAAAGAATGACGTAAACCTTCTTTACCAAAAATTGGGTCTTGATGTTTAGATTCTATAAATCCTGCTAGAATTATCAAAAGACTAAAACAATCGATGATATCCCTATGCTTTGAATAAAAAACTAGTTTTAAGAAAAATTCACGGTATAGTTCAATAATCATGTCGATAGATACATGAGATGGAATGCGTGTCTAAATAAGAGTGAGAGTATATACGTGACTATAGTATTCACTCTTCACATCTATGCTCACATCTACAATACTATTGTCATATATCACTGGATGCTATTTTGTGAATGTATATCAAGAAATACTATATTGTCTCTATTTAATAGTAGTTAATAACAATAATACACTTGTAAGTATATTATATTGAATAGTATTTTTCTATACTGATAAGATATTTGACTTTAATGTTTACCACACTTTTATCTTCATGTAATATACTTAGATATCGAACTTCAAGAGAATATAAATTTGTGTAATATATTCGTGTGTGTTTTTTTAATTAATGAGTTTTGAAGGATGTCTATTTAAAAATTTCAACAATATTAGTTTTATTCATATACGGTATTCGAAAAGCGACCTCTTTAATTCATACTTATTTAACATATTCCATGAAGGTAGGTTTCGAAGCAACATGTTTACTGAATGAATTGATTGTGTATGTATGTTTCTATCAAAGTTTTTCATTAAAGAAACGCGTGAAAATTCTTGTATAATTGATTGATTTAAAGATCAAGTTAATTTTTAGAGAAAAAAATGGGTATTGAAGCAAAAGATTTTACTCTTGATGTCGACTTACTTGCATTCAGTGGTATTGTATTTAGTCCTGAACAACGTGCCTCACTACAAACATCGCTTATTCTTCTTAAAGATCAATATAAATTTAAAACAATTCATTTATGGGGAAAAATTTTAGGTATCACAGAAGATTATTTTATCATACAAGGTCGACAAAAAGATGAGCTTAAAGAACGACAATTTCTCTACAGGTATTTTTGTTCACAAAAAAAAAACGATTTATACAATATTAAATTAACTTTTGAAAATTTTAGCAAAGATTGTATTAATTGGAATATGTTAACACCAGCAGATGATGAAGCAAAAGAATTAACATTATTATGTTCAGGACGTTTTACTGGTGATCCATCACATGAATTTGAAGTAACAAAATATAGTATAACAAATGAAAATACTGAAGAAGAAAATGTTGAAGAAAATAAAGTAATAAATAAATATACTTTATTTTAAGTATGTTATAAAATATATATATGTATATTTCTATTAGTCACAATTACGTGAAGAAGATCGATTAGCTGCTACATTATGGAAAATTGAACAAGATGCTTTAATTATTCCACGTGGCTCATATGTTCTTCAACCAAATGGTGATGTTGAACGAAATCGTACTTTTGAAGGTAAATAAATCATAGATTGTATTTCATATGATTTGGGCTTTTTTTCTATAGGATTAACAGTAGCAGAAAGTGGTAAATTACCAAATTATTTTCATTTTCGTGAACCAATTCATCTTCAACAAAAAAGTCTTATACATCGTTCAGCTCTTGATAAAAGTCTTCATTTTCTTGATACAATCGATGAAGATATTCCAAAAGGTATGATTACTTTTTATATTTCTCACTTAAATCTATTTTTTTCTCTATATAATTTTAGGTTGGAGTGTACAATATGAACGTGGTAGTGGATTAGTTCAGATTCGTAGTCTGAAATGGCTTGGCATGGCATTCTTTCATGTACCAGAAACAAATCGTTTTGGTTCACTCTATTGTGGTGTTGGTGAAGAAAACAAAGATTTACCATTTATGATTTGAATTAATTTATCTTTCTTCTTTTGTTCAATAATTAGTTTAATCATATAATAAAAATAAATAAAACTTGTTCTTTCTAATAAAAAAGGAAATCTATCAAATCGATTTGATTTTTTTCTTTTTGGTTTTTTTTCAAAAAAAAAAAGTAATAAGACTATGAATCCTATTAATTTCAACTTCAATACCATACTCAACAATCGATTAAAATGTTTCTTCACTATACTTCATAATCATAGAAACAAAAAGAAATCTACATACCGAGAATTAAAACGAAATTCTTTTATTCATTCTCTCATTTTCATTTTTTGTTCTTTCATACTGTTTTGTAAACGTAGACGATGATGAAATCAATCATGCTGTCGTGATGGATAAGGAAATAAACAAATTCGTTCGTTTCATTTTCTCTTCTTTTCTACTCCATCTCTCTCTCTGTCTCTCTCTCTCTCGCTCGCTCTTTCTCTTGCTCACCTATTATTTCTATTCTCCCAACATTCAGTTTACTTCTTTTAAAGCATAAATTCTTTAATATACAAATTCCTTCTTTTACAATTCATTTTCGAAACAAATTTTTTTATTTGTTTTGTCATCAACCATGCTGTCGGCTTACTATTCCTACTGTACCGCTACCATTATTATTTATGCCGGCAAAAAATATGTTCACATTTTTTCGATATAAAAAACTTTTAGTTATATAAATACATGGCTACAGCAACACATTCTACTAAGCCAAATACATATGATTCTCATAAACACAAGGTATATAAAAATAAAATCTGATTTTTTTCTAAAGTTCTTCCAGGCTCCAAACATATTTTTACTGTTATTACCTCGAATGTATATATATATATGATAGATGTTCATTTAATTCATAGAAATAAATTCTTGAATAGAACTTTTTATTTTTCTTCCTTTTTCAATATTTATCTGTTGCTGTGATTCCTTTCTTTTTTTGTCAAACGTATCATTGCAAAGCAGTATGTTTATTTAATATGTTCGAGTATAAGTCTGTAAAAAGTGAGAAAGAAAAGAAAGACAAAAGATATGCACATAATCAAAGTATGATTATGAAAATAGTTATATTGCATAATAATTGATTGAACATTTGCTTTTATTTATTTAAGGAAAAAGTAAATCGACGTCCTGAAGGATCGTCGAATGTGCATCGTCTATCATCAAATACAACTTCAAGTGGTTCAGTACCAAAACGATATCAAAGTGTTTTTATAGAAGGTACACCATTAACATCATTTGGTATAATAAACGATGAAAATCAACTACGTTCACATTCTGTATAAAAACGAAATCATTTTTTGTTTTATAAATAATAATTAGTAATTTTTGTTTTGTTGTTTTCATCAGCCACCTAATCATACTCAACCACAGTCTCATCAACGTCCACTTAAGCCTGTTAAAGAATTTCTAACTACACATCCGCTAAATGATCAACAATTGTTCGTAAAATTTTTTAGAAAAACAATACTTTCTTTTTTTTACTTGTACATTAACATTTTAGCGATAATCGTTGGCCTTCAAATTCTCAAGTAAATAAGTGAAACGCAATGTTTTGTTCTTAATCATTATAAATATATGTTTTTTCATGTAGAGAAATAGTCATACACGTTCTCAGACGGAAGCAACTGTACAAAATGTAAATGCAGCAGTGTCAAAATCATTAAGAAAATTACGTCAAGAACCACTCAATACAGCTAAAACAACGAACAGTCGTTCACCATCAGCAGACTCAGGAACAGTTCCTTCTCGACCGACAAGTCGAATAACATCTCATTTAAATAATGATGCAGCAACAGCATCACATTTTTATTATCAATCATCCGGTGGAACAAAAGGTCCTCTTCCTCCTCAACTTATTTCAAAACGTCCATCAACTTCACGAACATCAAATAATCGAATTTCAGCCGAAACTAGTCCATCGAATATACGACAATCTATGACTCCAACACAGAACATGATTAAATCAACTGATACTGGTAATAATGCACATGTATCTTCGCCAACACGTGTACCTACTAAAAGTCCTGATATAGGCTTACATCAATTAGATGAATTTGATTTTGATAGAATTCCAATCGATGAACATTTTGATAAATTTAAAGTAAATAAAATTTACTTTTTATTGTACGTTATTTTTTGTTATTCTTTTTAATTAGAAATCTAGAGATGGATCAAGTTCTCAAACAACAACAACAACAAGATCTTCATCTCGAAAACAATCACTTGCACCACGTGCACCAAGTGCTGATAATCAACATCGTTCATTACCGGAAGTAAGTGTTCATCCACATATTCAAAGTTCTGTACAAAGAAATATTGAACCATTACAACATATACATGAATCAATTCCAAATAGTATATCAGCTGAACAAATTCATCCACAAATACATGAAAATTATCCTAGTACAGATTTAGATACAGTTGAAAAATATACAAATCATCATCATATTCAAGTAGAACCAATAGGTACATTTAAACGATTATCATCTCCAGTTAAACATCAACAAATTGTTGATATTCATCCAAATGTTATTGTACAACATCAACGATCCGCATCAAGATCTGATTTAGATGGAAATAATCGTCTATCAGCCGCAAAACGTGCACTCGATGAAGCATATGTTGAACGAGAAAATACTGGTGCACAATTATTAAATTTTCAAAATACACATACGAACAATGATAATGATAGTGCATCGACATTAAAAGCTTATGTAGATCAACAACATGAAAGAAAAACTTCAGGGGCATCACCACCATCACCAGCAACTCGTGAATTAAATCGTATTTGGAAAAAACAACGAAATAAATATTCGATTAGATCTCCGCCAACATCTTTAGCTATTCGTAAAAATACAAAACCACATCGACCACCAGGTCGTTTGAAAAATTATGAAGATGAATCGGATTCGGAAACAACTGCAACTGAAACTCAAAGTAGAGAAGAAGGTAAGTAAAAATAAACATAGAACTATAAAAAGAATTCATTGTAATTCATTGAAACCTTGTAAAATATTTCTCCGTCATCTTTGATAGTCTGAGTTTTAACAATAAAGAAAAAAAACTTTAAAAGAAACCATTTTATACTTTCTATTCAATATTCTTTACTCTTCATATTAATAAAATAAATGTAGTCTGAAAATAGAATAATAATAATAATAATAATATTGTTGTTTGAATTCTTATAGATATGGTTCGTCGTCATGGTCTACCACCGAGTGATCTCGGTAGTGACGTTTGGTCTGATTTAACAAGTGAATTTAGTGATACAAAATTACGTAAACATCCAAATATTCGAACATCAACACCAAATATAACTGCACGTAGTTCTAGTATGAGTTCGAAAGAAATTGGACAAATACGAAGACAATTAACTGGTTAGTTTATATTTATTTCATAAAATAATATTTTCATATGTATATATATGTTTAGATCTACAAATTATGTATAATGATCTTCTTAAACTACTTGATATGGATGCTGAATCTGTTCGAGGTAGTGTTAAATCAACTGTTTCTTCTCATATTGATCATAATAGTCGACGACATCGTTTTCGAAAAATTATGCCTGCTTTATCTATACGTCATTCCAATGTTGATTTAGGGTAATCTATATTGAAAAGAGAAAAAGAGAATAAATATATACAATATTTATTTATAGAGAAGTCAATCAACGTTTTGCACGACTTGAAGCATCAGTAGTAACATTAGCTGAATCAATTGCTAAATTATCTGCACAAATTCAAGCACAACGTACTGTTAAAGATGATGTTTTTCGTTTACGTCAAGAGGTAGGTGATTTACGTCAACAATTATATCAACAATATTCACGACAACAATCTGCAATACCACAACCTCCTCCTATAGCATCATCTGTATCAGCGACATACCAACAACCGTCACGTTTAATATCTGCCAATGTTCAACGTTTAGCTACTATAAATAGTACAAATCCATCAAATTTTTCCACATCTTATCTACCATCAACATCAACTATGCAACGTTCAAATTCAATTATTGATCCAAGACAAGCACGAAAAATTGAACAGTAAAAAAACATAGATGAATGAATTGTTTTGAATATACTCTTTCATTTTTGTCTACTAGATTTTTTGGTACGGAAACAATGCTTCGTTATTTTTTAAGTTTATTAAATTATGAAGAATATGCTCCACGACTTGAACGTGAAAAAATTGGTATCTATGAATTACCATATGTAAGTGAAAGAAAATTACAAAGTCTTGGTATACCATATGGACCATGTGCTCGTATTATTTATGAAGCACAACAATATTTTATTTCATTATTAACATTAAAATCGGGTGGAATTGATGTATAGAAACAAAACGATAGTCATTTTGTATTGTGAAAATAAGTTTGTTTGTTTGTTTGTTTGTTTGTTTGTTTTGTTTTTCTTTTGGTTTATAGTTGTTCAAGTAAATAATAAATTTTTTCAATCCATTTTTCGATAAAATCTTTTTCAATTTTATTTTTATTGTATGTAATAGTAAAACAAAGATGATTATTTATTGTACTTATACCAATAAGTATTAAACTTGTCCAACGTTGTTCAATAAGTGATACACCATAATAATGTTCTTGAATTTGATTATCAGATGTATTCGATAATAAACCAAGATTACTAAAGGCAAAATCAACATCATTAAATGAAAAATCTTCATTATTATTAATCATTTTTAATAAATCTGTATCATTTTTACAATTAATTATATATTCTTTTTCATTTATTCGATGATGAAGATCATTATGTTGTTGAATAGCATTTAACCATAAAGATTTTATAGATTGTTTATCAAGTTTAATCAAACAATCAAATACAGTAGCAAACATACCAGTTTGTTGAAAATCAAGTTTAAGTTGTGGTCGTATATTAACCATCATATGAACTTTTAAAGTTTTTTCTTCATCATAATTACATGCGAGATAATAAGCCGTCGTTGTAATCATAGTTAGAATACTATTTAAACGTATTTGATGTATATGACATTGATTTGTTAAATGTGAAAGTATTTGATTTGAAAGATAAAAATGACGAACATGTGTTCGAGATATCAGTGGATTTGGTCGAATAGGTCTTGCTTTCATATCAAGATCAGATATTGTTTCAAAAGAATATCGATTAAATAAATATTTTTCCATAGGTTCAAGAAAAATTTTATTTAGAATATCACCATCGACAAATGATGGCGAACATAATGAAAGATATTGACGACCAATACTAAATAAATTTTTTGCATCAACAAGTAAATGATAAAATGAAATTATAAGAATATTTCCATTGATAATGATCCATCGTGTTAAATTTTTATTATCAAATGGAGTATTAAGTTCATTTTCAAATGCTTCATCCCAATTGATATCCTTTTGAGAAAAAATATTATTCTTATGGAAAATATGTAAGTTTATATATTTACCTGTTCATATTTGAAATTTAACATAAGATCTTGTTCAGCATGTTGTTCATTTTTTGATTTATATACGAGTGTTGTTTCATCATCCGATGGACAAATTTCATAGCCAAGAACTGGATAATAATCATGATATAATTTTATTAAAGATGATCGAGCTTGTGATTCATTTATTATATTTGTATTTTTCGTAATTATTACTTGAACTAATGTTTGATTTCCATAATCTTCTTGTTCTCGACAATAGATTCGTTCAGCTGCACCTAATTCTCGAACGAAACCTTCAATAATAATTATATAAAATATGATCGAATTATATTCATCAGACACTTACTCATATTGATAAGTTTGATTTCACACAAAAAAAATCAAATAATATTTATTAGCTATTTCAAATAGTTTGTTCTTTGTTCTGATCGTTAGTCGACTGCGTCTAGTCTTCGTTGAGCTGTGTTTTATTATCGGCGATCGTCGTCATTTTTATATCGGAAATGTGCTATCGATTTTTCTTTCTTTCTAGCTTTTTGACATTAGTCGGAACACATTAGATTCTGATTTTCACAGCAAATTGTAGTCGAAGAAAGAAAATAGAAAAGATTGTTGACAGCTATGATTTTCGCCCAGTTCTGCTTCTTAATAAAACAAAGATCTTGGTTTTTTTTCTTTTCTTTCTTTAGTACTTTATTGAAGAATAAGTCGGATTTCCTGCTTCGCTATTAATTCTAGTTAAAACTAATTAAAATGCATGTATTACTTATTATTAGTAATGAAAGATCTTATAGTACGAATAAAGATTCATATATATTAAATATATTAGCTAATGGCAATCTATAAGCGTCATTAACTATTGATTTCTATTCATACTTATAAAGTATTTTTAGATACTCGTAACGATATTGCATTTTCCAAACTTAGATTTGTTGACAGAGTCCAGCAATGATTCATATATTCACAAATATAAAATATATTGTAATTTGTAATTTCATTCTGAAATCAGTAGAGAATATAATCATGTCCTACGTGGGCTTAAAACTTTGATATGTCCGCCTATGTAGTTTAAGAGTGTCTTATAAACGAGTGACTTATATATTTTCGACGGACTTCTTAATCTATCTAAGATGATATAAGATTCGTTTGATGTGATTGACTTTGAAATATTGGCCTAGTTTCGCTATTCGAAGTCGAACAAACAAATAAGTTATTTTATACAATACGAATTGCAGCTGTGACATTTCAAGGCTATTTGAAGACCTCGTAGTTTTATATAAATAAATCTGTATGGCATATAATTAACTTGCATTATTGAAATTCAAAAGATCTTTTTGTCAATATTAAAAAAGAATGTATATATATTACGTATTATCAAAATTTTCTTATCAATTAAAAAATCAAGATGACCTTTTTAAATTATAGGAAGTTTCTAAGTATATTTATTCAGTGTGTATTACATGAAAAGAAAAAAAAGAAATAAAATTAATGATAAGTTTATACAATTATTTCATATAAAATATAAATTTTGTAACCCAAATCTCATATTATATTACAGAATTACGAAAATTTTAAAATTTTTATAGCGAGACAGAGATTGAATCAGTATAGACGAAAAGAACATGTTGTATTAATATTATGATCTGTGTAATAGCGACCTCTTCAAACTTGTGTCACCTATAGGGTTCTCATTCATTCATTGATTTTTATTTACTCGAAGAAGATGATTACATGATGCAATCCAAACCGAACGAAGAACATACCGTTACTTTTTATAACTTTATGATAAGCAAAAATTTTAAAAATATATGTTGGAATTTTTTGAAACTAAATAGCCACAAAAGTGACCAATTATATTATGTTTTCAATATATAATTTATATTCTTTTGAAATGATTGTTATCGACCTTATCAATACAATAATATGACAATGAGAATGATCGATTTATTTATTTAAAAGAATTTTGAAGTTTTAAGACGCACATATATAAATAAAACATTAAAATTGTTTTTCTCTTTTTTTAGATTGATTTATTAAATAGTCATTATCAGAGAATGTCATCTAATACAGCGAACCTATTATTAATGAATAAGGTAAAACGAATTTCGTACTCAAAAGATTAATGACAGTTTCTCGACAAAAATTGAAAAAAAAACAACGACTTTTATGATGACATCATAATCCTAGCTACCAATAAGTCAGACAATGACATTGATAACTAAAAGTACATGAAAAAACTGTTAAAGTACAAATTAAATTGATGAAAATAAAACGAAATTTGATCGCCTGTATGATATCATTTTGCGTATTCAGATATATTCATATTAATGTTTCTATAATTACCTCAATCCATCTAGCACGTTCTTTTTTCACACGCTTGATTAAACTAGGATTAAATGAAACCGTGGTCCTTCTTGTTGTATCCTAACAAGGACAGACAGCGAAAAGTACATTATAAAGCAAAAAAAAAGCATATAAAGGAAAGAAAATAAAGAAAAAGACACACGTTTAAAAATAAATAGCAACCTTATTCATTCTTCTATAAGCTAGAAAATGTTTCAATCGAAAAACCAAAGTTTTAATAATTTGTCCATGAACGAGGTCTTTAGTAATTTTCTTCTTGAAATGATTAAAATACAATGTTGTCCTTTTTTATTGTAGCCTCTTCAAAGACGTACGCCAAGTCAAACAGATATTGCCGCATTTAAAGATTTAACAAAAATCGATGCACTTACAAGATTACAAAATTCATTAAATAAACTTGCCTTAACTACTCCATCTCAATCACAAAAAGTTAGTTACAAGAAAAACAAAACATTTTCTTATTTATCTTCGTTGTTTTCATTTGAAAGGATGTTCGAACAGAATTCGATGGATTTGAAAAATTATTTAGTCGATATCTACTTGATAGTGTTGATCAATCATCCATTGATTGGCAAGAAATTCGACAACCACCAGAAGGAACTGTAAATTTAATTGGAAAAATAATCATTATCTATAATTATTTGATATATTCTTTTTCAAGGTCATTCCATATAAAAAATTAACTGCAATAGATGAGCATGATACAAAAGATTTCTTAAATAAATTAATTGTTGTGAAACTTAACGGTGGTCTTGGTACAACAATGGGTTGTCAAGGACCGAAAAGTGTTATTTCTGTACGTAATGATTTAACATTTCTCGATTTAACAGTTCAACAACTGGAGGTAAAATTGACTTTTTTTTACATATTAAAAAAGAACTTTTATTTTTCAGCAACTTAATCGTCAATATGGTTGTGAAGTACCACTTATTCTAATGAATTCATTTAATACGCATGATGAAACAGAAAAAGTTCTTCAAAAATATAGTCATGTTTCCGTTAAAATCTATAATTTTAATCAATCAAAGTAAGATTTTTAAAAATATAATTAAATTAAATATCTAATCTATTATTTAGATATCCACGTGTTGATCGAGAAACATTATTACCTGTTGCAACTAATGTGAATACTTCAGACAATGAATGTTGGTATCCGCCTGGTCATGGAGATGTTTATCAAGCATTTTATAATTCTGGTTTACTCGATGAATTTATTGAACAAGGAAAAGAATATATGTTTTTAAGTAATATTGATAATCTTGGAGCATCAGTAGATTTAAGTATGATTCTTTTTATTCGATTGAATTTATTTATTAAAAAACAAATATATGTACATTAAATAGATATTCTTAATCATTTATTGACTGATGAAGTAAAACATGAATTTGTTATGGAAGTTACAGATAAAACACGTGCCGATGTTAAAGTAAAATTTTTTTTCTGATTAATTGTTTATTTATTTTTTGAATAGGGTGGTACTTTAATTGAATATCAAAATAAATTACGTCTACTTGAAATAGCTCAAGTACCAAAAGAAAATGTCGATGAATTTAAAAGTGTTTCTAAATTTCGGTAAAATCAAAAATATTTCTTAATAAAAATTCTATTCATTTTTACTATATTAGAATTTTCAATACAAATAATTTATGGATAAATCTTCAAGCTATTAAACGTGTTATCGAAGATAATACCTTACATATGGAAATTATTGTTAATCATAAAGTAATTCATTATTTACAGAAATTAAAAAGAAAACTGAACAATACATTTTTTGTATTTTTAGTCGCTAGATAAAGGCATCAATGTTATTCAATTGGAAACAGCTAGTGGTGCAGCAATTAAAAGTTTTGAAGGAGCGCAAGGTAATTACAACTTATAAATTATAGATAGAAAATTAATCTGAGAAATATCTATAAAAAAAAGCAGTTGTCTTCGATATCGATTAAAGATCGACCAATTTGTCTCGTGCATGGTGTACCATCAAATAATACTAAATTCTAAGCAAAAAATTCAATACTGGTTTGTGAAGCTTTCAAGTACTAATCAAAGAATAATAATGATCCGATGATGTTCATTAAATCTTTTTGTTATAGTGTGATTTTCTTTTCTCTTTCTACGATTATGATATACATCTATGTATCTTCTTCATTTCTATTTTCCTGTCGCTCTCTTCTCTTTATAAATCTCTTTGAAATTTTCTCACTCGCTCACCATATATACTGAACATTTTTATTTAGGTATCAATGTTCCACGTAGTCGTTTTTTGCCAGTTAAAACAACATCTGATCTATTACTTGTTATGTCTAATTTATTTACAGTACATCGTGGAATTTTAAAAATGAATCCACAACGTTCATTTCCTTCTGTACCACTTGTTAAACTTGCAATAAGTTTTAATAAAGTACAAAATTTATTTTTATTTTCTTCATTATTTTTCTTCTTTTTTTTGTTATTAAGGTAAAAGATTTTCTATCACGTTTTCAAAGTATACCTGATTGTCTTGAACTTGATAGTCTTACAGTATCTGGTGATGTTACATTTGGCAAAGGTGTTTCACTACGTGTATGTTAAAAGAAATATAGAAAGATTTATCTCAATAGAATTTCTTTTCTTTTCTAGGGTACAGTTATTATTATTGCTAATCATGGTGATCGAATTGATATACCAACAGGTGCAATACTTGAAAATAAAATTATTTCTGGAAATTTACGTATTCTTGAACATTAATTTATCTGTTCAATCTGGGATCGCTTTCTATGTTTTTTTTTGCTACCATATAATCTTGCTCTTATGTTACTTCGGTGTTCGCGACAATATTTTTTTGTGATATTATTTTTTTTTGTTCTATTATAATTAAAATAGTGAAGTAATTGATTGTTTTTTTCCACATAATAATTTACTATTCCTCTTAATTCTTATTATGTTGTCATTTCTAATAAATATCTAATTCGCAGTGTGAAACGCTTGCAAAAATAAAATAATATTCGTTATTTTTTATGTTCGTTGTAGAGTAAAATAAATTATAGAAAAATAAGGAAGAAAAGAGGATATGGCTCCATTTCCACTTATCAAATTGGCTATTGTCTTTTTCAAACAAGTCAGCAAACCACTTGCTGCTCAGATTAAAGCACGCGCAAAAAATAGTGAATTTTTCAAGAAATATGTGAGTGCTTAGATAGATTTTTATATAACAATAGATTCTATATACTAATAAATACATAATCTATACATAGAGTTTGTTTACTAATAGGTCTGTATGCCTCCTGCACAGTTTTATCATTGGTATGATGTTAATCTTCGAATGAGAATGTTAGGTATTGAAACAAAAAAAGTAGCTAAAATGAATGAAGAAGCAGCTGTTGCACTTGGTGCAGATATATTGGGTGAAGGTATGTATAAATTATAGGAAAGAGTTGATTTTATTTTTTTCTGATATTAATCTTATTGTTTATTTTATTAGGTGTAATATTAGGTGTTGCTATTGCTGGTTTGGCTCTTGAATATGCTAGACAATCGAAAAATAATGCTATCAAAGAAACACGTCAACAAGAACGATTAGTTGGTATGGAGCAACAAATAGCTGAACTTGAACTTACATTAGCTAATCAATCAGCTCAAATGTTACAACTTGAACGTCATATACAGCATAAAGTATCACCACCATCAAAACCTACAAAATCATCGTCTTCAACATCACTTCCAGTATCAACTACCAACAAAGATTCAAAAGGACAAGCATTTTCAATTCTTGATACATCATTAGTTCAATCACCATTAATGCAATTACATAGAACGGACTATTTGTTATTGACGATGACACATGTTATTCAACAAACCAATGATTTTATTATGTCACCAGTAAAACAATGGTCATCATCATTGAGAAAAACAAAAAATTAACATTTGATCTTTCATTTATTTTAATTTCGATACTTCTCTTTCCCATATTACCTTACGTTTTGATCAATATAATGATTGATTCCCTTTCTGTATGTTTTATGTCATTTAACTTCAATCATATTACATACTCAAACAATAACATCTAATATCATCGATAAGAAAATAGTTGAGTTTCTATGAGGAAAAGATGAATCAAATGTCTCTATTTCATTACAAAATATACACATGAGTTTCTTTTTTTCTTCTATTGAGTGTTAAAATATTTAGAGATGTCATAGGTGAATCACTCTAGGCAATATACACCCTAAATGATAGCAAAAAATGATTATATGACCTTTTTTCTCTCTCTATGTACTAGTTCATAATTTAGTAATAACATATATAAAGTCATTTCATGTTTTATTTTGTAGATTATAATATGCCTCTTGTAAATACAGATAATGATGATGATGATACTTATTCATTGTCTTCAATAACAAATTCTGATGAAGATTTTGAAGAAGCTCATTCTTATGATCATCGTTTATGTAGTCGATATGCATCATGTAATAAAAAGAAACATGAACATTCATCAGATGATTCAACTAAATTAACAAAGCATTCAAAGAATTCAAAATTCGTTGTAGGTTCTATACGACCTATTGCCAATCAACCAGGACGTCGACAAAAATACGATGGATGTAAATGGCGTCGTATATGTGATAATTTCAATTGTTCAGTTTATTTAAGTGGTGTTCGTTATATTGAAAAAGGATTATGCCGAAAACATTGTTTATTTAGTACAGAAAATAATGTATCCGCTGAAGCGGACAATTCAATTATAGAAGATACAACAAGAACAATATTGGACAAAAGATATACTAAAAAAACACCTGCTCGACATAAAACTAAACGTAACAAGTAAATAAAATTTCTCTCTCTTTTATTTAATAATTAATTATTTTTATTTATTAAGATCACCTAAACGTGGTGATTTAATGATTGACACTGATGGTAAGGGTCTAAAATATGATGGTCATTCTTGGCGTTATACTTGCACGAATAATAATTGTAAATCTTACCTTGTGAGAAATGGTTTTTGCCAGCGTCATTATTTGGAAATGAAAAAAAAACAATCAGAAAATTCTTCTACCTCAAATAATAATCAACAAGAAATCTCTTCCACTTCAAATAATAATCGACAAGAAAATTCGACAATGAAATCGAAAAGCATACGAACAAAACCATCAGTTGTATTAAAACCAAAAAAAGGAGATATTCAACTTATTCGACAATTATGGAACGGTACAAAATGGTATTCATTATGTCATCATCCTACTCAAAATTGTACAAAACGTTCGACAGGAAAACACCATCGATATCTCTGTGAACAACATTATAAAGAATCTCAAGAAAAACAAAAAAATCCAAATTTAATTGATGATAATGATATTATAATAGAATCAACAGCTAAAAGAAAAAAAAGTATGTAATTACATATTTTATTGAAATATTCTTTAGGGTATTTCCATGGGATCTCAACCATGGTGTACAAAAGTTTTCTCAGATTTTCGTGAAACTTTCAGGGTTGATAGAGCATCTGATTCTAAACTTTTTGGTAAAAAACTTTTTTCCAATCCCATTCGTTTTCATGGAGAAAACTTTAAAATACTGTTAAACACCAATGCAAAAAACCAAATTTTCTAAAGTGTGTTCCAAAGGTTTTTGACGATTTTCTCTATGAAAACTAGGTCAAAACTTGATTGTAAGATGACCGTTCGATAGCCCTGGATCAGGCGCATCGACCCATGGTAAAATAAAAAATAAAAAAAAAAACTAACACTTGTACCATCAATTATTACATCACCAACTTGAATGTATTATATCTCGAAAAAGCCGAATTGCTCAAGATGGTGGTTTAGCGTGATGGATAGGCCTTCACTTGTACTACAACCCCCCATATTTAGGAACTTCAGCACCCTGGAAACGGCTGAGAATTTTGATCAATTTTACAAAATAGCATATTTATCCCTTTGTCAGATAACTTTTGAAGGGAAAGTTTTATGTTAATTCTATGAATAATATTTTATTTTATATCAGGATGCATAAGACACATATTTAATTAATGAATTTATTTTATAAAAGTCATATCACGTACTAATGATCGATTCATTACACATATATTGATGATTCAAACTCTTTCAGTGAAACGTAAAATCGAATTTTCAAATATGCTTAAGTCAGATGATATTCTAGAATCATATTTTTAAAGTTCTCTAAGACATAATTTAGGCTTTTAGTCTGACAAAGAAACCTCCCACGTGATACATCCAGTTTGAGCTCATATTTTACTCATAGGTGTAGCTCACAATGTAGATAAAAGTCTCAAAACGATTTATCCTGAAACTCTGTTATTGTTGAGATATTGTATTTTTAAGATATCAAGGAATCTAACTTCCGTGGTCCACCGCACGGATATGGAAAAAGCTCATTTTTGAATTTCCACTTGAAGCTTTATAAGAACGAAGCTATTAATGAGCGTAGTTTATTGTAGAAGTTTTAGACCTATTGCTTCTTTCTATCCGGAGATATGATACGCATCGCATAATGTCACTTACAAAAGATAGCATCATTGCTCTAATTTTTAGTTAGGAGCATTGAAAAAAGGTGAAATTATCACAAACAACCCTCATTGAAACCTTCGTTTATACAAAGTTTCAAGTCGATATTCAAAAATAAGCTTTTTCGACATCCGTGAGGTGGACTACGGAAATGAGATTTCTCCGTATCTTAAAAATACAATATGTCAACAACAATAGAGTTTGGGGACAAATCCTTTCGAAATTTTTACCTAGACTATGAAGTATACTTATAACTAAAGTATGAGTTGCAACGGGAAGTGTCATCTCGGGCAATTCCTTCGTGAGAAAAAGTGATAAATGATTAATTGGAAAGAGAAAAGCTGATCGATCATGTATTTGAATAGTTAATTACCAGTTAAAATGATTAGACTGTAACAGTAGTAAATTAAGACTGTTACAAAGCGTTTCAAAATTCATCGCAAACGTGTAAAATTGAAATAAATTGTTGTTCAAAGAAAAAGGCTATTTGAAAGCTATCGATTTAGGATTATTTCAAGTAAAGCACTCAGCCAATATTGAAAGTATATACAAAAAGAAATTCGATTTTTCTTTATATGAAAAATCATCATGTAACAGCGTTGCTAAGGAACTCAAAAACTAAGATTTTTTCAATAAGAGAACGGGTTTTGCAAAGCATAGAAAGCCTCTAAATTTTCTTCAAAGTTTTAAATTATTATTTATAGAATTAACATAAAACTTTCCCTTCAAAAGTTATCTGACAAAGGGATAAATATGCTATTTTGTAAAATTGATCAAAATTCTCAGCCGTTTCCAGGGTGCTGAAGTTCCTAAATATGGGGGGTTGTAGTACAAGTGAAGGCCTATCCATCACGCTAAACCACCATCTTGAGCAATTCGGCTTTTTCGAGATATAATACATTCAAGTTGGTGATGTAATAATTGATGGTACAAGTGTTAGTTTTTTTTTTTATTTTTTATTTTACCATGGGTCGATGCGCCTGATCCAGGGCTATCGAACGGTCATCTTACAATCAAGTTTTGACCTAGTTTTCATAGAGAAAATCGTCAAAAACCTTTGGAACACACTTTAGAAAATTTGGTTTTTTGCATTGGTGTTTAACAGTATTTTAAAGTTTTCTCCATGAAAACGAATGGGATTGGAAAAAAGTTTTTTACCAAAAAGTTTAGAATCAGATGCTCTATCAACCCTGAAAGTTTCACGAAAATCTGAGAAAACTTTTGTACACCATGGTTGAGATCCCATGGAAATACCCTTTAATAATATAAATTATAGTAATTCATGAAGAAAGTTTTCGATCAGACAATAGTATTGATGAACCAAATTCACCAATATTAGTAAGTATTATTTCTAAAAATCTTCATCTATATTTTTTCCTTTGAAAATATTTATTTAGCAACGATCAAAATCAAGTATTGATCAAGTAAAACATACCGAACAATGTATTCAAACTGAAGTAACATATCCACTTGATTCAACTGATCTTCGACAAGGTTGTTTTCTCATTGATGATGATGATGATGATGATGATGATCGAAATCAATCGGAATCATCTCCAGCAGTAGTTTGCATAAAAAAAGAAGTAAAATTTTATTTTCTATAAAATATCTATAAACTTATTTTTATTTTATTCATCAGGATGATATTAGAACTAATAAACGAAATGTTTCCATTAATCTCAATCCAATATCTATTGATTGTAAATTAGAAATACCCAAACTTGAAATTTAGCATCTATTAACTGTGATATATGTACATGCATTTATACTGATATAGCAACCAAAACAAAACAAAAGCTCATTATGTAAATTATTTTACTTTTTATTATTTTAGGTTAATAGTAAATTTAATTAGACATTCCAATTTAGACATTTGCTTTTCTTTTTTTTTTAAAAAATATTTTAACAATTTTTTTAACGTAGTTTATTTATATATATAAATATTTTGTATATTTGTTTTTTTTGTTTCATAAGTTGTGAAAAGAATACTCAAAATAAAAGAAAATCATCTCATGGGAAAAAAATTGTATTCGTTTGTAATTTCATCGTTTATGAATGTCAAGTCAAAATTGATTACTATATTAATAGATCATTGCTATTTGTTTTGTTCACATTGATAAATATACGTAAATCCGTAATATCTTTTTGATAAAAAAATATCAACATGAATACTTTCTTCTTCAATCAAGGCATAGCCAGAAGGAATGTAAGAACATTTTTTTCACCCCGATTGCACAAAAAACAACAACAAACTAAGGTACGAGTAAAAGAAAAATTATTTTCCGTTGGTGTATACTTCCGTTCACAAATCGGAAACATTTTTTAATTTCAATTATAAACACGCTATTTGTATGCTTTAAAAAATGAATTCTAAATCAAGAAAACATGATGATTATTTCTCAATTTTTTTCTGCTAATTTCAGTAAAATAAAAAAAAGCATAGATTAATTTATTATTTCCTTCTAAAAAGCCAAAACAAAAAAAAAAGAAAAGAGTCGTCAAGCAGGCAAGCGCAGATAAATACACGTTACGAACAACATTAATAGAAATATTATGTCACTTATTCATTTTATTTTGTTCTTTGTCTTTTTATCTAGCCATAGAGATTCGGGGGAAATTAATTATTCTTCAAGTTTGGGACATTCTGGGTGAATGAAATTTCTTGGATGAATCATGCCATTTTGTCGAATAACCCATTCATTAGCTAAATAATCGATAACTTGCTTCATATGTTGTTCCTTAATATCTCCATCAAGTTCAGCTAAATATCGATAGTATTTTTTCCATTGCTCAAATGGTATACGAGCATTAGCACCTGGTGGATCACTTGTTAGTAATTCGCAGATTTTAGTTAATGTATCAGTTATATTCTAAAGTAATTAAAAATAAATAGAATAAAATTATGAATTCATATAAAATATTACTTTAGCTAATTTTGATACAGCAATAGCAAGAAACGAATCCCATTGTACTTCTCCATTGAATGCACCAATTTGTACAATATCATCAAATTGTTCACGTGGAATTTTTAAATCATCACATTTATTTTGAATTTCTTGTAATGATAATTTACCTTTAGGTGAAAGCTATAAAAAAATGTATTAAGATTCTATCCACCCAATAAATATTTCTCAATAAAATGAAATTATGTTAATCATTTCATATACTGCCTGTTTTTTACTTACTTGTTTATGTAATATTTTTAATATACCCATTGAAAGACCTGTATCAATTTTTTGTGTAGCTAATGGCATTTCAAGACCTAATTAAAAAATGTTGTTCATAGTTTTTTCTCTATTAATTATTAATTAAGTATATCCTTACGTTCTTTGACCGGTGGTGTTTCACCATTTGCTAATGCTCGAAAATATCTATAGTTATATACAATAAAAAAATATTATATGCAAAAAAAAAAATTAAAACATACGCAGCACTCCAAGCAAGTACATCAGTTGGTTGTGTACGGATAGCAGCTTTAGAAAATTGAAGAAGAATATCAGGCAATTCAGGTGGAATAGGTATTTGTTCGCTTGTATAATAGGGTTCATCAGTGTAATTCGTTGCTGTTGCTGTTCCTGTTGCTGTCGACATGATTTTATTGAGTCTATCAGAATGAAAAATGAATAGGGGTTAATAAGCTGTAAACATGTCAACACATTTCTGCCATTGATAACCACTCATCCTTAACACTCGCTCCTCATTTAATTATAGAATAGAAAAGATTTTTCATATTTTTTAATAAATATTTTTATTTAATTTTCTATTTTATTAGGAATAAACAATTTTTTATAATCTATTTAGCTAATTTTATAAGGAATAGAAAGTAGCGCACAATGATTTTATTCGTCAATATATTCGTCAGGCTCGAAACAAAGAATTCAACATAATATCATCGTTTATCATTTATTATATAATTTTCAATGTCGGCAATTAAACGATTCTTTTCAAGTCATAAAACATCATCAAATTCAAAGGTTAACAATAATAACCAACAACAACAAGATGCACAAAATAAATCTTCGAATAATACTACTGTTACTGTTGAAAAAGTTGTAATAAATACTGAAGTAATTGATCATGAAGAAAGTAAAGAAAATATGGCTTCACCACCATTTCCATCAACAGAAATATCATTAAAGTATATTAATCAAACAAAATATTTTTTCTATGAAGTAAAACTTCTTTTGATTGTTTATTAAGATCCGATATTACTCCATCACCAACAACACCACCGCCGTCATCATCATCATCAGATATATTACTAACAATTAATAATGAAGAGAAAAAAATACCGTATGTATATATTAACTATTTGTGAAATAACAGAGAATTATAGTAGGCCTCAAACTTTTGTCAACACTTTCTCTACAATATTTTATAAATGATTTATATACTGATGAGAGATAGCATAGCCTAGTTGATACTTTTATAATGATAAACACTTAAAGATACAGAGAGATGTCAACGTCTAATTAAATAATTGGGTTGATAGTTTCTACTTAGAAAAGCAAATCATAGCACGAAGCTTAGTGTCATCAAGTATAATTCTTTAATAGATAAAAATCAGATTTAATCATATTAATATTATTTCTCATAGAAAATCGTCAAGTTGGACAGTTGAAGATTTTGAAATTGGTAATTTATTGGGGCGTGGTCGATTTGGTTATGTTTATTGTGGTCGAGAAAAACAAACACGATTTGTTGTAGCACTTAAAGTAAGAAATATAAGCTAATATCTTTGATATTCACAATCAAATTCTTTTAGATATTATTTAAAGCACAATTGAAAAATTCTAAAATGGAACAACAAGTAAAACGTGAAATAGAAATTCAATCGAATCTTAAGTATGTTCAAGTTTTTTGTTCTTCTTAACTTTATTATTAACGAATAGATCGATTATAGACATCCAAATATTCTCCGTCTTTATGGATTTTTTCATGATGAACAACGAATTTATTTATTACTTGAATATGCACCTGGTGGAGAATTATATCGACGTATGCAAACTGAAAAAGTTCTTCGTGAAAGTGAAGCTGCTGGTGTAAGAATAATTATTTATTTCAATCTTTTACAAAATTCAAATTAACTTTTTCAGTATGTCTATCAACTTTGTAATGCTTTAAATTATTTACATACAAAACGAGTCATTCATCGGTATGAATATATGATTTTTAAAAGAAATATTTTAATTTTGTTTCTATTTTTCGATTTAGAGGTATGCTTGAATAATTAAATAGATATCAGAAATATGTATAAGTTCAATTATTGTAGATATCAAACCAGAAAATATTCTAATTGGAAAATATGGTATTTTAAAATTAGGTAGGTGTTTAAATTATAAATTATCATTAAAATAAGTTTTTTTTTCAGCGGATTTTGGTTGGTCAGCAGAAAGTACGTCAACATGCAAGTAATATTATTTGATTAGATTTGTTTCTTGAGAGAAAAAAATGAATATATATTTATTTTTTAAGACGAACTACTCTTTGTGGTACATTAGATTATTTACCACCAGAAATGCTTAATGGAAATGGTTATGATGAAAAAATAGATCTTTGGTGTCTTGGTGTTCTTACTTATGAAATGGTAATTATAAAACTATCTACGAATGGGTTATTATTTATTTGTTTTTTTATAGATAATTGGTAAACCACCATTTGATAGTCAAACTCAACATGAAACAATTCGAATGATACGATCAATTGAATTAACATTTCCAACAGGAACATCAACTGATCTTCGTGATTTAATTACAAAAGTAAAAAATTATAATTATTCTTTTATATTAAGCAAAATATTGATTTGATTATTTTTAGTTACTTCGTCGAAATCCAGCTGATCGTTTACCTTTGAAAGATGTTGCACAACATGTTTGGATAACAAAAAATGCAGATATAGCTGCTATTGAAGATAGCTATGTTAAACGAAAGAAAACATTGAATAGAGAAAATTAAATTTCTATACTCTATTACAAAACAAAAAAAAAACTATTTTGGACATTCTGTTTTATGTAACTTTGCATAAATGTTAATTAATTCGGTGATTTTTTTCTATGTGATATATATGTGTGTTAAACAGTTATTATGTTATTAAATTCAGCTATTCTAGATAATAAAATTAAATCATTACTCTAAGCAATCATTATCCGAGTCTTTTCATTTACGATGTTTATATGATAAATTGCAGTTTTTTCTATGGAATTCTTTCTAGATTTATTATCAGAAAACATGAGAATCTTTCACTTTATTACAAAATAAACAGTTTCTTTTACTTCTGATATAATGATATGTCATACATCATTTTTTTCCTTACTTGTCTAAAAATTTATGAGAACGAGTCACACGAACTTTCGATATAGTAAAAATATCCTTAATTTTATCTTTTTATTCAAGTATTTTCTAATTGAATAGAAAATAATCTATTAATTCAATTTTACTTTAGAGATTATCATATATATTTTCGTTAAAGAAGATTATACGTCAAAACAAAGCAATTGTAATAAATTTATATTTGATATATCGATCGAGCAATTTTATCATCAATGATGAATGAGTTTTTTAAGGTTGATGACATTTAGTTATTTATCATAAACTGACATAATCGAAAAGAAATTGTCAAGAGATTTGCTAGAAAACGTATTATTTAGTATGCTTATCAAGTTTATTAACCATTAGTAAATGAATATTTCTCTTTTCCTATGTTTTAATTAATCATTGAAATATTTTCTTGATTTCTAGGCATTTGAATTTTAGTTAAATTTTTTCGAATAATATCATATGTTTTTAAAAAAATAGTTCGTAATTCTAATAGAATTGAACGTATATCATCGAAAATTTTTCGTTCATATTCAATTAAATATAAATGATAATCTTCAATAAATGGATATTTATTTAAATATTTTAATATTTCATAATGTTTTTTATAATAATCAAAAAATAAATTTTCATTTGCTTCAATAATTGTTTCCATTTCTTGAATTTCTTTTAAAATTTGTTTTTGAATATTAACACCTTGATTATTACCTGATTCATTTGATGGTACATGTAATTGTATATAACATCGAAGATGAATTGATGATAATAAATATTTTTCGAAATAAAATTCAATTATTTTTATTAATTCATTTAGAAATTTATTTGACGATGAATTTGAGATATTTTTTTCAATTTCTTTAAAATAATCTTTTGAAAAACGTTCATCATTATAAATAAGTTCATTTAATTGTTTAGCATATGTTAATAAATTAAATAAAACATCAGATTCAACATTAGTTTTTATGGATTGTTCAAGTGATTCAGTATTTAGAACTAGAAAACTATCGCCTGTCATATTTGATAATTCTATTGATGAATGAGATACTAATGATGTTGATTGTTTTTGACGAACTTTTTTTACTGTCGAACGCATTATATTTATAGAAATTAGTTTGAAAATTATATAGATATAGATATATATATTAGTTTATGAAACGCGCTATAAAATTCAATGACATAAATACAGACAGATGGTTTTCTTTTTTTGTTTATATTATATTGACGACATAAAGATTATTTATATATATATATATATATAGGGTAAAAGGCCGTAAGAATAACGAGCAACGAGAAGATGACTGATATCCAATAGAAAGAAAAGAGAATATCTGTAATAGAAACGGAACTAGAGTATAGTATATGAAAAAAGTATTCTTTTTTTTCTTCTTCTTTGCTTCTTGCCTTGCCTATCTACTATTACTATCATTGTTATTCTTTCATTGTGTTGACTTTGTTATTATTCTAAATAAATTCTCGTTCGGATTGATCATATAGCAATAGAAAGGAAGCAAGCGATAGATCGACAAAACAGAGAAAAAGATAGGGGAAAGAAGAAAGAGTAATCCTTCTCTTCCTCCCTCTCTCTCTCTCTCTCGCTTGCTTCTTTATCCTTCTATTGATGCCACTGTTTCTAATGGAACTATCACTAGACATACATACACAATTGGATAGGGTCATCGCATAGTATTAACGTAACACATCAAATGTGTTACGAATTATAATGCAAATATAAAGAGATTTTAACATTATTAACTTGTACGTTTATTTACTTGATTTATTCTCTATTATCATCAATATATATATATACGTATCTCATTAATAATGTCTGATCATGATTGCACTGGCGAGATATCCTGTTGTTCTATTGCATCAACATCAACAAGTCAATATTCCTTTTGGCTCTATAGGTAAAATAAACAAAAATAAATTCTCAAGAGAAACATTAATAGTTTTTTTATCATATCTATTATTATTTTAGAGATGAAAAAATCGAATCACTTAATTTATTTATACGTCCAATGATATCTCGTGATATCTATGATATTCGAGCTTTCTTTACTGATTGTACACTATTTCATAGTGCAGCCATTGATTTTTCAATGTATTACTATGCATTTCGACCTAAACATTCATATGTAATTATATCTAAACATGGTCTTTTAGCTCATGCATCTATAAATCAATGGAATTTTAATAATAATTCTACTCCATCAATATTAATGCTTGGTCTAGTTTATGTTCGTCCGGATTATAGGAAATTTGGTATTGGTGAATTAATAACAAATTATGTTTTAAATCTTAAATCCGATGAAACAAAAATTATTCATGCAAATATTTTAACAAAACATTTACCATTTTATATTCGTTATGGTTTTCAAGCATCATTTTCTTTAGTTAATCTTACTGGTAAACTTAGTGAATTTTTTCATATATCAAATCTTGATGAAAATGATATTCATTTACAATTATTTGAATCATCTGATATACTTGATGTTGCTACATATGATCATCAAATTTATCCAACATATCGAATAAATTATTTTGAACAATTACGTGAACATACATATTCTATAGCGGGTTATGTTGCACGTTCGATAAAAACAAATTCTATATTAGGTTATATTATTTTAAATTTTAGTCAAGCATTTATTAAATGTGGACCATTGTATGCTGATAATTTAAATATAGCTTTTTTATTACTAAGACAATGTGCTATTGATTATGATGGTATGATGTTAGTATCAATACCTGAAGATAATCGAATTGCAATTAAAATGTTTGAATCAAAATATTTTAAACAAACTGATATTCTTCATCGTGTTCATACGGGAAATGTAAATTTATTTCATGGAAAAAGTTTTGAACGTATTTGGGGTATAACAGATGATTGGCTTTCGTTAATTTAAATATTAATATGTGTGAATTTGATCCTGAGGTGCTCGATTATTGTTTTTTTTCTATTTTGTCAAAGTGTGATATGAATCTTTTTTTTTTTCGAAAATATTAAACTGAATATTGAGTACGAAATATTTGTACTCAACATTATTATTAATCCATAGATAGAGCTCGAATAAATGAAGAAAAGTAAAAAAAAAGACACATGTTTACTATCAATGTGTTAAGGAAAGAAAATTTTTGTGTTCTTCTATTCAAAAGATATATAAATCATATATTTTTTTTCTTCGCTCTCTCCGTATTCTCTCATCCGGATCGATTAATATTGTGTTTATTTTCAAAATGACGACTGCGCCAAACCAAGTCCAAGTAACGATAACACGCAAATCGGATGATAAATCCGTTATTTTACTTGTTAATGAGAAGATAACAGTAAAAGAATTAAAAACGGAGATTCGAGAAAAGTTACCACCGCAATTTGAGGAAGGTTGTCGACTTATTTATCAAGGTAAAGTACTTACAAGTAAACGAACACTTAAACGTTATGGTTTAACAAAAAATCAAGCACCACCACACGTCCTTGGTAATTCAAATATACTTATGGATGACACTAAAAATTGGAAATCGGACTCATCATCTTCATCTTCAGAACAATCAGAGTGACATTTTCTTTTTAATATAATCTTATTAAATGAATTCGGAGAAAAAGAAAAACATCAATTAGAGATTATAAAATTATATACCCAACAAATCTTACTTTATAATGTCATTTTATCTGAATACATATACTAACAATTGTTATTAACTTTTTTTCTTATACAGAATTTTATTGTAAAGAATATTTATCTGATGAATAAACATAACTTTCCGCCATCACCGTCTCTATCGATCTGCTAATTGATTTGATCTTTAGTCTTAATTTGGAAGCTACAAATTTAGTTTTATAAAAATACTTGTTAATTGTGTCTATTAAACCGTTTTTCATGGACGTTATTATTATGTAATCATTATGTACAATTATTCATGCTGAATAGAAAATAGTCTAGACAATTACTACTAAATACATGACATCGCTCAGAGGAATTTTTTTTTTGTTATCTGATAATCAGGATTTGTTAAAATCTATTATCAATGATGGCTCAAAAATAGTTCTTTATCATGAAACCTATGAACTAAAGCATTTATGTAGTCCTGAGCGAATTTTCCTACTTTCCCGATGTACACATAAAAAGTTTTTATTTTGAATCACGATGGTCTTACCTGTGGACATTACTTCTTTTTGCATTTCGAGATATTTAAAATGACAAAATATTATTCAAAGATACAGTCTAAATAATAAAAAACAGAATTTGTCTAATTTTAGTCAGAAAAATTGATTCAATAATAATTGAAGATTGTTCAGAAAGAGAAGTAAAATTATTCAAACACAGGTAACCTAATCTGAACAATCAATCTGTATAGAATAATTTAAAAAAATTATTATACTATATAAAAACTGTATTACTAACGAATTACTTCAATCCTTCGTCTCTATCGCAGATTAATCTTCTTATTCGTTTATTTGATATTAATATAATTAGTTCCGTTTATGAATAGGATGTGAGTGTAGGTATTCTATTTATCCTTTACACCTACATCCAACTAATTTCAGAAACACAGCGATGAAGTTCGTCAATTGGCAAGCCGTGTCCGTCTGTTGATATCGGTGCACGGCTAGTGGATTTCTTCCCACAAAGTTTCATATCTGATAAGACACACCCACTCAGGGAGACCTTTATCGTGAATATTATGATAAACAAATGACGCGTTTCACTTTATAATAGTTACCCTTTCTGAGAAAATTTTGTCTTCTTCATCTACAACGACATAGAGTTGTTATATTTACACAACTTTACGTGGTCATGAATGTAATAATTATTAGATAAAAACATAAAATTTATCACAACTATATAAAGGAGTAGTATTAAATGAAAGATACGCGATTTTTGTGAAGATGGAGCGACAGCAGTATTCACATCAGCCTTATGCACATCAGCCCTACGCTCAATATAATGCACCTTATCCATTGGTACCACCACGAGCACGAACGGTAAACGACATTCTTCCTGCTTCTATTCCTGGTGTATTGGGTGGATTACAGGTGGTACTCTGGCTTGCTATAATAGGCCTTGAAGCAGGAGGTCTATGGTACGATGCATGGCGCGGTACTGCCTATGCAGGGTTCTGGTGTGCTGTTATATAC